TGAGGTGAGGTGAAATGTGGGTTTAACGTCGTGCTTGAGAATATTTCGCTCATATGACGACCATTATCAGCAGTACCCATACACATACATGATAGGCCAGTGCGGACTCGCAGTTGCGCCCCTTGGCAAACACAGGATCTGGTTCCGAAACTCGCATTTGCCTCGAAGCCTTGTTGTGTTACCTAGAAACGTGATCTGGACAAAGATAAGATTCCAACTCTATGTAACTGGTTTCGTGCCCCGCCAAATGATTCAACTCAGCGGCGTCCTGGGAATACCAGCACTGCCTTATCCCACCCTCATCCCTTCAGGACATATTCATGCTCCAGGTTTGGCAACTTTTACTGATTCCCCATGTCTGCATCAAGGGATACATGCAACCACACCAGTGTTACAACACTGACGGGGCGGTGGGGCAGCCTAGTGGTTAAAGCGTTCGCTCGTCACGCCGAAGACCCGGGTTCGATTCCCTATATGGGTACAATGTGTGAAGCCCATTTCTGGTGTCCCCAGCCGTGATATTGCTGGAATATTTCTAAAAGCAGCGTAAAAATAAAATCACTCAATTTTGCATACATGGTGAAAATAGTGACAGGAAACTGTGCACGTGAGTTCAAATTCCAGATTTGCGTTTATGATGTTTCTCAGTTTTTAAGCAACATGATCGTGCTAAGCTAGAGATTTTCTCCAACAAAGAGCTGACACACACTGGCAGAAGTGATAATGTTCAAAGCAGCTCCACACACAGCTCGCTCTCTCGCTCACAAAAATTACATTCTTGGGGCCTGTTTCACGAAGCGATAGTAGGGCTACGATGTCGTAAACCAATGTTAAAGTATGGGAGTTACGATCACCTTAGCGCTACAAGCGCTTTGTGAAATGGGGCCCAGGTATCTGTACACCTTCAGCCTTGGCTTCCGGTCCACAATAAGACTAACATCTATTCTCTGAAATGAACATCTTTTACAGAAAAAAATAGTTCATAGTAAAAGAATAAAATATAGAGAAAAGGAGCCCTGCTAGAGTTGCGCTTTCTTGGATATACTTGCTTCAGGGTCTGTATGACAGACTAGTCTACACAGCGAACGTAGGGCTACGACTGTGGTAGGGGCATGTTAAAGTGGGGGAGCCACAACCGTCCTACGGCTGGTTTGTAGGATGGGGCACAGCTCTCTCCAGTTATGAGGGATGGTGTTACCACTGTGTCAGACAATGCCGAACGCAATCCCACAATCAGGAACTAATCACTGCTCTTCTCACAGATTCAGTCAGAAACTTTGTTCTCTGTGTTCCTTTCTCATCATTTAAAAAACATTTGGTCTTCACCTTGAATTAGTGTTAGATCTGTATGCGCCTGAAGATATTCAGGGAGATCTGCCAACGTTCGTGACATGGCATTTTGTCTGCGCTCACCAAAACAACCCACCAAATCAGCTAATAGGAGAAGAAGAATTTAACATTCAGACACACACCCAGGGCATATTGTAACCCAGATTAATTATGGTGGATATCGGAGTAGTAAACCTCCGTGTTATCCTAGTTTGATAATGAACTTTACATTTCTGCGACCGGCTTGTTCCGATCTGTGTTTGAATAATTATTTTGTGATCGGGTGGTCAGGCTCGCTGACTTGGTTGACACATGTCATCGGTTCCCAATTGTGCAGATCTATGCTCCTGCTGTTGATCACTGGATTGTCTGGTCCAGACTCGATTATTTACAGAGCGCCGCCATATAGCTGGAATATTGCTGAGTGCGGCGTAAAACTAAACTCACTCACTCACCTTGAACACCTGAGGCGGTTTTACAGCGATCACGTTCAACAGCAAAAGCAGTTCCTCAAGAACTGACACTTCGAAGCATATGTTTTCTCTTCCAAAATGATCTCAGAAAACTAGAAAATATTCTCTGGCAGACAGCTTTATAATTAGATCAAGCGAAAACTCAACATAGATTTTATTCTTCTCAATGCTCACTTTATACTAATTATGTATTTGCATCGCCATACTCATCCTGCTCGCTTGGTCCATGCACTGAGAGCGAGCCAGGTCGAGGTGTCGTGTGAGGTTAGTTCACCTGTATATTCTCACAGGGAATAGCTGATAGCAGAATGCATGCACCGAATGCAAATATTGGTACACAGCGGAACAAATCACGTCCTGATCACGTCTAGCAGTTGACGCGCTACGTCAACAGAACGGAATGTCGGAATGCACAGTGGGCCCTGGTGCAGCTGGTCGTAATTCGGTGATGACATACGGACACAACTGTCGCCTACGTTGAGACACATTTTCATTCCCCGCACTCAACTCCGGATACAACTTGCAAAACAACGCTTTTAAGATCCGCCTTTCTTCGTACACATAAACAATAAATTTTGTCTCCACGACAAGGAGCTACAGTTAAGTTAGCCATATCCTGCTTCTGTGAGCCCACGTAGGTATTCTGAGTCAGACTGATTCCATGTTAACCATTGGTGCTGACGGAATGTCACCGTACCCTGGCTTAACGTATAAATGAATCCTTTGTTTCGCCCACACTTATTGACAGGGCGTTGTTAGGTGTGGTGTAAAACCTTACTCTCTCAGATGTTAGTGACGAGTGAGTATGGTTTTACGCCGCTTTAAGCAATATTCCAGCAACATCACGACGGGGGACAACAGAAATGGGCTTCACACATTCTACCCATGTGGGGAATCGAACTCGTGACGAATGGTTTAACCACTAAGCTACGCCACCGCTCCTCAGATGTTAGACTTGGTGTGGAGGGTCCAGGCCCCGATTTCTCGAAACAAACTTAAGTATGAGTTTCGACTTAAGTTAGAATTTTTACTCAAATTTGAGTCCCAAATTTGAGTCCCTGGATGAACTGAAATCGATACTAAACTAAAATTTCAGTTTTGTGAACAGAATAGTTAATTTGTTTGTGCCTTTTTATTTTATAAATGCAGCTGAGTTAAAATTTCAGCTGTTTCAAATTGTCAAAGTCAGTTTGAAATTTGTTACAAAAATTAAGTTTGTTTCGAGAAATCTTAATACATTTTGGATCGGAGGATATGTTGCGAGGGTGCCCAGGTGATCTTTTCTCAGGCTATCACCCACTATACTGTGTTTGGTCCGGGTTCGAATATTCAGTCGCAGCATAGTTATGATAGTGCTGATTGTTGCGAAACACATGGACCCGTTCGTGGTAAGGTCAAGAATAGGAACCAGTGGTTGATCGCAGGATCTACTGGGGAACCTCTTTGAGAGGCATTTCAACCATCAACAGACTCAGCAACCTGGCACTTGCTTGATAACGGTGTTAGAACCTACACCGACACGTCGCTCTCACAGCAATAAAGAAGTTGTTCATCCAAATATTGTTATCCTTCCTCTACTGGGGAAAACTGACAAAATTAACATATGCATTCGTCCTCAAGTCTAAAAAACGTAAAGTCAAAACACGGCTCTGTACGATTATTTTGAGGGCAGATTTTGCGAAATACAAATAGTTTACTTGTTCACATTAGAGTAAGTCCCATTTGGAGTCCGGTATAGTAATTGTCCAACCTTTCTACTTACACTTGTCGCAAATAGTGATCAAAATGGATCAGACTCAACGGCGAGGTTGAGGTTTTCATTAACCACGATTAATGTGAACTACTCTTGATATCAGTCACTGGCTGGTCTGATCCAGGCTTGGTTATTTAGTGGCCGCTGTGATGTAACACATATGCTGTAAACTCCCGCGTACATCACCTGTCCCACTCACACTGTCCCAATAAAACTGTAACTGCAGACAAACTCCAAACTGTCTCCGGCTCTACCATGCTTTCCGTTTGACGTAACGGTTAAATCTGTTTTCCTTTACATAAAGGTCATGCATAACACTAGGCCCTTTCGAACAAATTGTGCTTTTCATCACCTACCCCAGCTTTTGACAATTCCTAAGCATGCCAAATCAGTTCCGATTCAACCTTCGGAAGAGATTATCCATTGTCTTTATCCAATAAACGTCTGGATTTTAGCATTCTGGCGATTTTTAGGACCTTTTTTACATCAATGTATTCAAAATATTTTAATGTGGCCTTGTGTATATAACCAAGGGGGCGTAAGTTTTTAAACCCATTCATACTCCTCTAAGTGATCTGCGTATGTATTTGCTCCAGTGTTAAATGTCATGATATAAGAACAAGCCCAAGTCCAGAAGAGCTATAAAACAGCTCCCGAGGCCGAGGATGCGCAAGCTGTGAGGTTACGAACAGACTGACTGTATACCTGTGGTACTACTCCAGGGGACTGAGTGCAGCTCCCGTAGTGGTTATTTTGGCCCACTTGCCTCCACTGATTGCTGATTACCGTCGATAAATGTTTTGACTGCTGTAACAGAATCCTTACCAACATCCTGTGACAGGTTATCACATTCTGTTTGGTTGGTCGGTTGTGGAGAAAAACAAAGGTAGTTAATTTTAGCTCTATTAACGGTACCTGAGATAGAGATTCTACTTTTTGTTGTGAATTTTAGCAAAGAAATATCTGTATATATTACACTAAGGTTGGCGCATGATGAATCTTAGACATATTTAGCTTCAGTAACGCAGTCGACAAAAACTTGAAGCTTATTATTTGATCATTAGATGAATATGTGTGTCCTAATCTTCCAATATTCTTTTGCAAAATAATTGTTTGTTGCATTGCTGACTGAAATAGTCACACGTTTACTATGCGGCAAATACCAATTATTGTGCAGTGCAGTGAATGGACGAGGGTGTAGCGCATGTCTGTGTGTGTGTTCCATTACAGGAATCAGTGCAATTCCACACAGAAACAGCTGACCGCATAGATATTTCCCCCGACACAAGTAAGCAACATCTCCTACATTTTATATACCGTGATACATCGTGTCAGTCTGGAGAAAGACCAAGTTGGACCCGTGTAACTACTGCAGCATGCTCGACAAGCCCCAGCCGTTCGCATCAAGCGGTGCGTGAGACATTTGGGCCGCGGTTTCCGAGTGGTTCCGGAACTATCAGAAGTATCTTCGGAAGTCTGCGGGCTATCGCCAAACCTTCAGACATAAGTCGGGATCGTGGTTCGGAAACCGCGAGATAGCCAACTTACATTAGACATCATCTGTCGGCCACAGTCCGTGTCTGCAGTGGACAGTGGTGACATCTTGGAACTGGACTGTCCAAATCATGGCTGGACAGAAGAAAGTTCTCCAGCAGGTAAAGTAGTCTTTTTATTTATTTTTGTTTATTTGCATTGATAAACCATATGCGGGGGTATTTTTTATAATTTGCAGTTGTGGGTTGTACATTTTTGCTCATATATATCCATAATATGATCTTAAAAATATAATGTTAATCTTTTCTGTAGTAAAAGCGAATAAAAGCGAAATGCCTATTTTTCGAAATTTAAAAATGGAATATTTTGGCGCAATACAATAAAATGAATATTTTAAAACAGCAATCATACACTATACACAATTATTTCCAGCATTCTTAATTAAATAAACCTTTAAATACATATTTTATGATGTGGCAAAATACATTAAATTATTTGTTTGTTTTCGAAGCTTTGTATGCTTACATTTCATCTGTAATTATTCACTTAGAATCAACAATGATAAATTGAAGTATGGACTGTGTATCAAAATGCCACGAGGACTTCTGGATGTATTTTTACGTAGTCATATATTGGGCCTGATACACCCAAAACCTGATCAACATCTCATGAGTCACGTTACACACCTGACATGAATGTATCTATTACAATAACCCTGTGATCTGGGAGGCTACGAACGTTCAACACACACAGAGAAAATATCTACAACAAAGCCACAATATGCTAACTTCATTTATCATATCGGTTTCTTCGCGTACAACCATCACTGTTCTCAAGCCGAACAAATTACGTTCAAGGACAGAAATAAAGGGTGTGTTTTTTTCCAGCTGCTAATATATCGTAGCTACAGGTGTCGGGCGTGAGCGGGGGCATTCGCTGAGTAGAATAGAGCGCTTGCCATGCGGGTCTCAGAAACATAACAACCGATTGTTGTTATGAGTGCTGACAAGCTGAAATATCAACTATTTCGTTTATTTCTCTTGTCATTTTGACAGCAGGGGACGTGGGTCTTGTTTTAGCAACGTTTCAGATTCTTTGTTTCCGCAGTCTGCACGTAATCGTTGTTTATGTACACTACGTGTAGTCTGTCATTGAGTGTGCGAATAGTAATGGTTAAAAATGTGGAAACGTAAAATCCTTATGTAATATACGTCACGAAAGTGTTCTCTCTCGATCACTTTGTAGCCGATGCCACTATTCACTACCGTAGACCTGTTTGCTATTTGGGAATTTTGTATTTTCAATCCACATAACTCTGTGAAGGAAATGTTTCCAGTTTTATAGTCGTACATTTACGGATAACCCATCCATATGTGTGATGAGTTACTCAGTGTCGTGTTTAACGAGGTCTCGTTGTTCTGGGTATCTCTCCTCCCCAACACACTCGTTTGTGCTGTGAAACTGTGAAATTGATCCAACAAGTGAACCTTTCGAATGAAAAATTCTGCAAAAGTTCATGAACACTAAATATCTTGCTGAGAAAACCAACAATATCGCTTAATTGCAACGCTGCATAGTTTTAGAACGTACTCAGATATCAGCGATCAAGGGCATTGTTGAGAACTTCAGCACATTCCAGGTTATTTATTGAAAGGATATCTCACTTAATGTATGGAATTTTCTATTAAGTAAGGAATAAGAAATAGTCATACTTTGGAATTACTTCGATTAGTTTCTGTTACGGCTGTTCAGAAGACCGGCAAGGTACATGCGTTAATTGGGGATAAATGAATGGTTACCATTTCAGTGGTGGGGAAACCTACAGCGAAGCTGTTTGAAAGGTGGAAGTAATTATGTTTCAAACCTCATGACCCCATTATCCTACACAGTGTAATGCTTGGGTGGAGATTATTATGGAATAAGTTACTTGCAACTGGTTTGTCAGCATAGACGATGAATCTTCAGAACTGACTGTCCGTGCGTTATTACACTGTAACAGCTACATGGTAGGGCGCATGTCAGTTTTTACATATTAGTATTATACTAATATTAGCAAGAAACTAGTCGATGGGCGACATTAGGGGTATACTTTCAGCTCTCTGTTGGTCAACATTAAGGAGATATCTGGAGATCTTTGTAGACAGCTCTCTGTAGGTCAACATTATGGAGATATCTGGAGATCTTTGTAGTCAGCTCTATGGGTCAACATTAAGGAGATATCTGGAGATCTTTGTAGTCAGCTCTCTGTAGGTCAACATTAAGGAGATATCTGGAGATCTTTGTAGTCAGCTCTCTGTAGGTCAACATTAAGGAGATATCTGGAGATCTTTATAGTTAGTTCTCAGTAGGTCATCATTTAGGAGATATCTGGAGATCTTTGTAGTCAGCTCTCTGTAGGTCAACATTAAGGAGATATCTGGAGATCTTTATAGTTAGCTCTCTGTTGGTCATCATTAAGGAGATATCTGGAGATCTTTGTAGTCAGCTCTCTGTAGGTCAACATTATGGAGATATCTGGAGATCTTTTTAGTCAGCTCTCTGTAGGTCAACATTAAGGAGATATCTAGAGATCTTTTTAGTCAGCTCTCTGTAGGTCAACATTAGGGAGATATCTGGAGATCTTTGAAGTACTGAATCTGAGTTCCACTGCTGTAACACTTTTGTGGTTGCATATAATCCCTTGATGAAGACATGGGGAATCAGTAAAACTTGCCAAACCTGCAGCATGAATATGTCCCGAAGGGATGAGGGTGGGATAAGGGATGCTATTCTCAGGACCCCCGATACACGTATTCGCCAGGATGACTGAAGTCTCAAGCGCCACAAGCGGCTGTGCAGAGCTGGGTCATTTGGCGGTGCACGAAGCCAGTTACATTGAGTTGGAATCTTATATTTGTCCAGATCACGTTTCTAGGTAACACAACAAGGTTCAGTTTCGAGGCAAATGTGAGTTTCGGAACCAGATCCTGTGTTTGCCAAGGGGCGCAACTGCCAGTCTGTACTCACCTATATGTCTGCCGTGTGTATGGGTACTCCTTATAATGGCGTGGTTCCTATATGAAAGAAATTGACATTAACGTCGTCCTCTATGCTTTGATTCTCATGGAAAAAAGAAAAAGAAAGGTCTGCACTCGATGTCTACGATAGAGGCAATTGTCACAGCACGATGTGTAGGAAACTGTCAGATCTTGCTTCTGACATGAGGGCTATCACGTTGCGTGTTAAGTCAAGCTTGTGATTACCTCCAACAGACTTCGTGACAAAATATTCGCTTTGAAGTTAATCACAAAGTCAAACAAACATCGCCATTCGATAGTGAGTCTTTCAAGAAACTCTACTCTGAAAGTATGCTCCAATGTTAACAGTTTAGGCTCAAGCTTGAAATAGGAGGAAAATATACGTACTTTTTATAATTACAAAATAATTGTTCTCGCATGCGAACCTTAACGATATGCAAATATTGGTTTCTATTCCTAACGTGCCGTACATCTGCGTGTGGTAATACTCAGAGCCAACTGCGACGTCCTGAAGTGTGGTCGCGGGGCCACTTGAAAATAGTCTAACTTGTCAACATCCGCATAGCTTACATTCTGTGTACTACGGTTCCAGTTGTTGTCTGCATGAGCATCGATCAACAAGCCTTTAAGCTGTACTATGGTTGGCATCAAGCGACACATGTTATCGCTGGACGTTAACGCTTGGATTGGTTTGGTTCTTGTTTAACGCCGCACTCAGCAATATTCCATCTTTGGCGGCGGTCTGTAAATAGTCGCGAGTCTGGACCAGACAGTCCAGTGATCAACATCATGAGCGTCGATCTACGCAATTGGGATACGATGACATGTGTAATGACCCGTTAGTTTAATGGAGATTTGGTAGCAGACTGGGTAGCATCAACGTAGTCCCCCAGACCTAGTATGTCTGTCGTAGGGGTAGACTCAAGTAGAACTATCTCACAACCCCTGAACCATATTACTTTCCTCCCGCTCAACACATTCACGATGAAAACCCTGAAAGAAGCAAGTCTAGAGTTTCCCCAGCTTTTGAATCTCCCAGCTGACTGGGGCTCTTTTTCAGTTTAAATGTATCAGTTTGTATATTATATATTAATATATATTTTCAGAAACTAAGCATGAGTGTAGTGGAATGAACGTGGTGACCTTATTTGACAATGTGTGCCATGCTACCCAGTGTCCATCTTTGACAGACCTCCATTACACACTCATATACTTACTCATCTCTATAAGGGGCTGTGGGGTAGCCTAGTGGTTAAAGCGTTGGCTCGTCACGCCGAAGACCCAGGTTCGATTCCCCGCATGGGTACAGTGTGTGAAGCCTATTTCTGGTGTCCCCCGCCGTGATGTTGTTGAAATATTGCTAAAAGCGGCGTAAACACTCAAATCCATAAAATCCTTGTCTTCCCACTGGAATGGAAACGCAGCTAGTCGAGTACAAAACAAAACAGCGGGTAATGTCAGCCACGACCCAACATCGAGATACGACCACACACACATCCATCTACATGACACGGATCTTCCCCATAAGTACTATATTGTACTGTCTGTTCAGTACTATTTAAGTCCGGCTTCGTGTCACACCGATCCCCAAATACCCTACTGTTACTTCAAGCACAGAATACGTACCCTAAGGAATTACAGCTGCAGATCTTCATAGTTAGAATGAGCTCAGTATGTAAGCATTTAGAACTATCTAACACATACCTTACCCTCAGAATCTACAACCTGCCAGATATACAAACACACTGTTCAAGGGAACCATAGCGCGACAGTTTCACTTATAAGCTCTATACTACTTGGATATTGTGTTTGGTGGTTTTCATTTTAGGCGTGTCGTTGAAACACTTATGTTTTGAATCATTAGCTAATCTCCAGCAATAGACTATTTATTCTACCTCAAACAAAAATAAACAAGCGCAAAACGAGATACAATGTTGCCACTTCCGAGCAAAGGTTGAGCATATGGTTGTTATGTGTTGTGTATGTTGACCATATGCTGCAGGCGAGTACAACCGCCGGGGAGGCTGGCATGGCGGTCGTGATGGAGATGTGAAGTCTCCCTAGTCGTTCTATCTGACGTTCAGATTTACATACAAGACTCTTAATAACTGCTTCTGATCAACTAAAATGTGTTTTAATAATCAGAAATATCTAAATGCACGACATACAGAATGAAGGCAAATGTTTATTACACTGATCAGTGTCCAGATAAACAGAATGTATACAGATGATATTTAGATATAGTAACTTAGGATCTATGTGATGCATTTATCAAATTAAGAGAATTCAGTCAATATTCATAATTTTCTTGTTGTATCTGACAAAGTTTCAAGGAAAATAAACTCCTAATTCTATTTATTGAATCGCAGGACTATATTTCATGGCGTGTAATTTCGCTTGATCGAAACATTTAAGTTTGTCTTAATAGAGCCCATGGACTTCTTGATCTAATGAGAGTGAGTGAGTGAGTTTAGTTTTACGCTGCTTTTAGCAATATTCCAGCAATATCACGGCGGGTGACACCAGAAATAAGCTTCACACATTGTACCCATTTGGGAAATCGAACCCGTATCTTCGGCATGACGAGCGAACGCTTGAACCTCTGGACTACCCCACCGTTCCTCCAGTGACAGATGCGTTTCTTGGTTGTATCTTCAATATTAGATAATATAAGGAAGCTCCTAAGAAGTCGCGTGAATTGTTCCCTATCATATCATCCCTTACACACGCGCCTTGCGTTTGTCCAAAGGGAGAGCAGGCTCGCTGACTTGGTTGACACATGTCATCGGTTCCCAATTGCGCAGATCGATGCTCATGCTGTTGATCACTGGATTGTCTGGTCCAGATTCGATTATTTACAGACCGCTGCAATATAGCTGGAATATTGCTGAGTGCGGCGTAAAACTAAACTCACTCACTCACTCACTCCAATGGGACAGACATTTGGGCTTCGTATGGCAGTTTTGTTAGTTCAATGACCTCTCTCCGCGGCAAGTGCCCCTATCCTGAAGTGAACAATGGCAAGGATGCTACTCAGACCCGAGAGAGGGCCAGATGGGACTGCTCCGTCCATGGGCAGCGGACATATCCTGTGTGATAAGCTGGGTGTAACATTGAGTATGAACAAAGTTATACAACTGCAGTACAGGGTCACAACATAGGTTTACATGAACACTGGATATATATTGATGTTTATCTTAAACCCATTGTTATTCTGAATCGTGAATACCGACGGAGTGACCAGCATGTTATCTTTTGAATTATTTTTAAACATTTACTCTCTAAACAAAGGACACCAATATTCAATGGTATTTGTGGAGAACCTTGTATCTCAGGATGTACAAACTTCAAAATTAATCATGAATAACTATGTAAGATTAATGGAAGTGAATAAATCATTACTTTAAACTTTGATGTTTACGTTATAGTAAAGTGGGGTGAAAAGACAGAAGACTGATCATACTGGCGTCTAAAGATTTTTATAAGACGCAGAATGATTCGTCTGTCAATGTTCTTTCTCTGAAAGGCCATCTAGCACGTCCAGTCCCAGGCATCGTTATTCGTCTCCAGTCATTTTTTTAATATATGTTTCAAGAATATATTTCGTTAATTTACTAACCCACAATGAGAAACAGAACACTCGAAAGCTCATCTTCTCTGTCGTAATTCATTCTTGTAACCTTATAACATATATTCTCATCCCATAATATCTATAACTGACGGGTACTGTTCAGGCAGGTCTTCATACGTGAAGTGTCACTCTTCCAGTTTCTATGACAAACCTGGATAACTGAATGGTCAAGGAGCAACTAATGTCTCAACACTGATGCGGACATACGTTTGGTTCTATGATAGCCAGTTACCTACTCTGTCGGGGCGGTGAGGTAGCCTAATGGCCTCCTTTCACAAAGCACTAAGGTGATCGTAAGTCACTTAGGTAACCTTAGTGCAATGTTAAAGGATGGGAGTTAAGGTTAACCTTAGTAAAGGTTGCTTCGTGAAAGGAGCAGCTGGGGCTCCTAAGTGACGTACGATGATATTAGTGCTTTGTGATAGGAGGCCCTGGGTTCGATTCCTCACATGGGTACAATGTGTGATGCCCATTTCTGGTGTCCCCCCAACGTGATATTTCTGGAAAAGTGCTAAAAACGGCTTAAAGCTTACTCACTCACTCACATACTCTGTCGACTGTGTGTTAGTGTATTCTGTAGCTACTTCCGCACAATGACCACTAAGAACACAATGTAGTAAAAATGAAGTTTTTAGAACTCACACTTCTATTCATGAATGTTGGAATTTGGTATATCTTGTATATATTTTGTGATATTTTTTGTTGTTTCTGAGATGTTTTTCTTTAATTCCAAAGCATCACACGTCATTTGTTATCAATGCTACTGAAAAAGTACAATGAAAGAACAATTTGATGACGTCACAATAGTATCCGACATCTCCAGTCTTTCACTGTTATATTATCTTCCAGCTTCTAGCTGCTCTGGCTGTTGCTTGTATCGTCGACCACACTGGAGGTAGGTTCAGTATTGTTATTGTTCAAAACAATCAGACAAGTAAAGGCAACATGGATTGGCTACAATGTTTTGACCTCTTTCAGTAACATTCAAATCATACGACGGTAGGGGACACCGTTAACACGTTGTGAGGGAATCCGTGGTACCCCACAGGCGCTTAAATACGTCATAGTACCAGGGCATGTGTACTATTTTAGTGACATATGAAAGAAAGAAAAAATGTAAGAAGATTCACTGGGGTTTTGCGCATGTATATATGCATAAATATGAAAAATTATGTTAAATAAACACTCTTTATTTTACAAAAAAAGGTTGATTTAAATCTTCATCTTAAGCCTGTTCCTGAAGGGAGCTATGTGAAGTTATTCCCTACATATGAAGGTCACTGTAAGTATCGCCGGTGTTGTTTCAGGTAGTGCAAGTTACCGCACTCAGGACGCCAGTGAGGGTCAGGCTGGTTATGTCCAGGCTCAGGGTGCTGGCGAAACACACGGTATGGGTCAGAAGTCACACGCCAGTGAGAGTCAACAATCACACTCTGGTATGGAGTCCCGGTCCCAGGGGCTGAAGCAGTCCAGTCAATCCTACAGTTCTTCATACAGCAGCGGAAGAAGTTCCAGCAGCCAATCCTACAGTTCATCTAGCAAGCAAACACATGGTGATGCCATGAGGAAATCCAGTTCCGCCTTGGAAGGCCAAGGTCAGCCAGACCGCGGTGAAGGTCAAGGGGGTTTAAGAGGTCTATCCAGCGCTTCTGGAGCCGGGCAATACAGCTCAAGGGGTCATGGGAGTTCCAGCAGACAGTCGCATAGTTATAGTGGTCAAACTCAAGGCGGTTCTACGGGAAACTCCTCAAGCTCAGGGGGTCAGAGTAGTTCCAGAAGACAATCGTATAGCAATGGAGGTCAAACTCAAGCCGGTTCTATGGGCAAATCCTACAGTTATGGAGATCAAGTTGAAGGAGGTACCATGGGAAAATCATATCGCTCTGGCGGCCAAATTCAAGGCGGTACCAGAAATCCATCGATGGGCAATCGGGCTCCACTGGGAAGTCATACGGCTCTGGGATCACAGTTGAGCGTCAGGTTCATGGAGGTTCCCGTGCTGGGTCACAACTGGTCAAAAAGAGCGATGGACAGTCTTTGTTATTTAAGTTGGAGTATACAGACGAGCAGAGAATTCAGCATCTCAACAGCCAGCGTGAAGCAGCCAGGAGAACTGGAGGAGGGTACAGTGTAGGGACTGGGGGCACACTGGAAGAGGCTAGACGGCAGGTGGAGGAAGAGAGAAGAAGAAAGGCAGAGGAAGAGAGGAGACAAGCTGAGGAGGACAGGAGGAGACAAGATGGGCAAGAGAACAGACAAACTGAGGAAGAGAGGAGGAGACAGGTTGAAGAAGAAAGAAGACAGGTAGAGGAAGAGCGGCGAAGACAGGTTGAGGAAGAGAGGCGTAGACAGGTTGAGGAAGAGAGGAGGAGGCTTGTAGAAGAGCGGAGAATGGAAAGAGAGAAGGAAGAAAGAATGCGCGTGGAAGAGGAGAGAAGGAGAGAGGAAGCTAGGGTAAGGATGTGATAAAATATCGTGTTAGGAGCATGTATCTCAGATTCCCTCAGCAATATAGTCATGCACCAATATAGCATGCACCGTCCATTAAATGTTAATGTACAGTAATCCACTGCTGCCCTTTTAAGCAAAATTCGTATGACGTACAGCATTACACAGATAAACACCATATTCCAGTGAACTCCAGTGACTGCTTCTGTAAATGATGATACTTGCTTACGATCTAAAACGGCTCTAAATTCATGAAACACTTCATTTTTCGAGCATCATTAGTGAGTGTTGCTGTATTAGCAATACTGATATACCGCGGCGGGATGTAAATATTAACACCTTAGGCCAGCAAAGTAAGGGTTGACAACGTGAGCAATAAACCCATGTTAGTGAACTTAGAGTGTTTACGAAGGGCGATCAAAAAGTATGTAGAGTCCCCAAGAAAACGATACAAATGCAGTTATTATTATGTAATATTTTTCAACATATTATCTGTCAAGCTCAATCCATTTGGTTTGTTCCAGTCTCACGATCCCCGTTTTGTTTGACCTTTTAGCTTGGTACCCTCAAAAAACGCAAACCTACAATAAATGCATAAAAAACTTCAGGAAACAAAATATGCAAGAAATATTTTGTGTGTTTGAGATTGATAGAAGTCCCCTAGAATCACACCTAGATATTAAAGTTCATAAAAAACCAATTTGAAATTACAATCGCTTGTTAAAGCGACTCCCGCCTTCATGTTGACTGAAAGAGCTTGTTTTGTAGACACTATCCATCCCCTTTCAGATGACGTTATGATAAGGACATAACTTATTCTAATGTTTTCACTTATTCATACATGATGCCAAGGGTTTAAACTAAACACTGAATGGTCACACAAGTGTCAGCTCACAATATATTGTAAACAGTACCAGCTTGAATATCTGGACACAATGTTTTAGGAAGATTGAAATGGGGGTGTCCTTAAAAAAACAGCCCTCGACTAAATGTAATTTAAGCAATCCAAATCTTTGACTGTTGATTATGACGGGAAGTCATCCAATTCTATACTGAACATATTTGATATGATATACTCTGAGGGCATCCCATTATCCAAGAGGTACCACATGACAGGTCGTTTTGCATTTTCTGCAGTTTTTGTTAGAAATATTATACCCCAATATGTTGTGATGACTAATATCTCGTTAACCAAATTACCCACATATGTGAAATTTTGGATATGACTTTGCTAAAGATTCCTTCAAAATAAAATGGAAGCTTTTCAAACATTGGACATCGAGAATACAGTTAGTACCTTTTGATCGACCCACGTACTCCACAGATGTTCTTGGGTTAATAGGCCACACAGTCTAGTACGCGTACTCGCGCCCTCATGAAAGTAAGATTGTTACTAATTGTAGTGAAACAGGGTGTATGTGGGGATGAGTTTTGGCAATAGTTTATGATAAATGTAGCTTCCTTAATTGTTTCTTGCCATTCATGCTAACATACGTAATGTCATACAGGTGCAAGCTAGGCGACAACAGGTCGACCGCCGAGACGGTGACGAGTCTGAGGCGGAAGAGAGACGTCTCATACAAGAGAGACAAAGAGCTGAGGAACAGAGGAGGATTGCTGACCGTCAGGAACAGGAGAGGATCGAGGAGGAAAGAGCTCAGAGGCAGAGAGAACTCGAGATGCGACGGGTGTCAGGTGAACCAGGCCGTCAAACCAACGTGACTCGAAGGCCAAGGCCAAGGCCAACGCCTGTCGCGAGATCATCTGGTGCACGACGTGATAGTTTAGTCAGAAGTCGTGAGTAAATTCTTTACTTCTTCAGTTTATTTATCAACTACCTGCGACTAGATTCTTAAATAAGAACATTACATTACTAAATAAGCTCATAACTGAGCTAGGCGAGAAAGTAGTATGATAATTTGACCAAGATATGTAATTTCAGGTATCTATGATCTGGTTATGATCAATAACTATTAATGTGCCAATTCCTTCCACATATGGACCGACCTGAACTTGACATAAGGACGCCAGTGAGATCGCTTTATCTGTTTCTAAATTTTGCACATCACTAACTAATTAATGTCCGATGCAATTCCTTATTTTGTTTGTACCATGTGTTTCTATGATTGCCATGTCTTGTAGGGAATCGAAACGGGGCGTGACGACCGAACGCTTTAATCACTGAATACCTACAACGCCTGATTCGCTATAACACAGCGGCCAGTAAATATGCTGGAGTCTGATCCAGCCCCTATTCACTATATTGCGTGCTGAAGACTCAGTTAAAGACACCTTTGAGAGGCATTCAGACATCTCCCTCTTATAGCGTGGATAAAGCTGAGTGCGGCTTTAAACAACAAACTAGCAAAAAAAGAAAGCTTTGCTATGCTGTACCAAACGTCAACCAGGTCCTCGTTGTCCTGGGCCCTGTTTCACAAAGCTCTCGTAAGCCTAAGATCTAGTAACTTTTCTCGTAGCATTCGTACTCCCTATGTTACAGTATAGGAGGTACGAATGCTACGAGAAAAGTTACGAGATCTTAGGCTTACGAGAGCTTTGTGAAACGGGGCCCAGGACAACGAGGACCTGGTTGACGTTTGGTACAGCATAGCAAAGCTTTCCTTTTTTGCTAGTTTGTTGTTTAAAGCCGCACTCAGCTTTATCCACGCTATAAGAGGGAGATGTCTGAATGCCTCTCAAAGGAGTCTTTAACTGAGTCTTCAGCACACAATATAGTGATTCATGTCCTGAGTATCGATCTACCAGATTGGGATAGAATTGCATCAATTAAATAGGCATGCCTATCACTCGTCCCCGTTAGTCACTTCTTCTGCCAAGCTTTGGTTGCTGAATCCTATCTTACCTTCACAGGTTTCTCGTTTTTAGCTCTTGGAATAAGCAACAGGATCGATCGACTTATTCGTCTGTATCGTCAGCATTTTGGGATTACATATAGTTGGTGGGGTACAGTAGTGGTATTGACCTTGTTAAAGCCTTCGCTCATCACGCCGGAGACCCGGGTTCGAATCCCCACATGTGCACTTGCGTTGTCCCCCGCAATGATATTGCTGGATTATTGCTAATGGCGGCGTTAAACATCTTCTCACTAACCCACATACAGGCGTACTCGACCTATGGCATACCTTTAGACATGTTCAAGGTTACCCGTTCGTCCCTGTTGTACAGAAAGTTCCAAAAAGAAAAGACCTACAACGCAGACTCAAAACACAAAGGACCTTTCTCAGGCTTGTCACTGTGCAAATAGTTTACTGGTTCGCACTGTATGTCAAAGTCTGTTTTCTTTACATCAATGTTACCAGTTAGCTAATTATGGAAATAGGCAAACTATGTTGACATGCTGCAATGTGCGATACAAAGATGTAATCATTTCTTTTCATCACACAAACGTAAAAAAAGGACTGGTGAAGTGGGCGTTATTGAAATTCCTTCCAATGAGTGTTCCAATTAGCTTAAACATTAGCTTACAGCCATGGGTGTAGCGGCCATAAAGTTTCCGAGTCACGTGCTTGGACTAAACAGGATAACCCCATCAGCAAATTAACCCAAGGTAACTTTACTAAATTAGAAATAAACAAATCAGATCACCAATCACGTGTGATGCCACCTCAAATCATGAAACTATTGTCCAGATACTGTCATAGCCCAGAAGAGTTGTCCTGACATGCGGCTCGCCTCTACGTATCCTTGCCCAACCCAACCTTTGCCTCTATTTGTAAGTGTTAGGGTCAGACCCTTCACAGGACATCCTGCTTTCAGTCGGGCTCCTCAGGTCCGACATGTACCGGAAGTTGTTAAAATTCGCCTTATCGTTATAGAAGAACAAATTTGAATCTATTGCGAGTTTTCAATTTCGGTAGTGAAGCGATATTGCCTTGGTGTGGTGTTTTAGGCATGCCACGCTTTGGTTTGTGAAACATTCAGGCAACTTGGGACATTAACGTATCCTCATTCAGCCGTACAAGCCATTTTGTCTCTTCATTGAGATGGTGTTTGGAAGGCATATTTTAGCATGAGCTTAGGACAGCGCTAGCATCAGTGCGAGTTCTCTTGTGGACGAACGCGCTTCGCAATTTGTGTGCACGTGCATCACGTGGTGCCCATGCAAGATCAGAAATTGATGTGATGTTGTGTTTAAAGATGGTGTGCCACAGTATTGTAAATGTACGCCTCAACCACAGCTTCATTGTTATAATTAGTTCCCTCTTTCGTCGGCAGCATATTGTTACGTAACAAAATATGACCACCTTGTTTTAATTTTTTTCAATCACTGGAATCACTGATGGTTCAGCTTAAGAGTATACCCCCAGTAACCCATGCAGGTCGAACTAAAGAACTAGACAGGTCCGTTGGTTGACTGGTTGATTGCCACCGTGTGAGACGTTGTCAGTTATATCAACCACTGGTTTATGACTGTATTTGCAAGACGTTCCGAGGTCACCTCTTAAAATCATCACCATCAGACACACCCCACACTGTAGATGTTGTCTACACCAGGCAAGACGTGCCTGTAGGTGACGTTGGAGCAAAATTGGACGTATTGCAGTCCGTTGAGTCCGAATTTTGTGCTCCATCAGTCGGTTCCGTACTGTCCTGGAACTGATTGGACGTGAGCCAGGAATGGTCCGAGCAGTCAAACTGGCAGTCTGGAATCGATTCCTTAGATGGGTCAGTCGAATGTGGTTGTTTTGCTGATGTGACGTCACGCGTGGACGGCCGGTCCGAGGCAAATCTCTCCTGCTCCCATTATGTTGAAAACGTCTCCATAGAGATGAGATCGTGTTCCAATGGACACTGATTTTCTGATAATCGTGGCATGACGCGCAGTTTGTGCTGAAAATAACATGTTTTCCACAACATATAGAGGCTAGAGAATAATCAACCTTTCTTCAATTTTCAATATATGTACATGAATTTCAGGTGTCAATAAGCATGCACAAAGTGAGTGAGTGAGTGAGTGCCGCGCGATACGTGACATCAAATTTCATGCAAAGTGCTTTGCTACATGTATATTTAGGACTATTTTGATAATTTTTCAAATAATTTATTTTAAGCAATTTTATCTTGTGCACAGTTACTTTTTTCCGTTAGTATATATTACTGGTTTTGGGGCAATGAATTTGTTCAGAGGGTGTGTAATACGCACATACAACAGGATGTCAGTAGGTTGCAGATTAAAGTCGTAACAGCCTCTGTAGTGAAGTGCGCCTCACAGAGGGAACATATGGTTCTCAACGCACAGGTGCGTTTCAGTATTACTTCAAAAGTAAACATTACAAATTTCTTTTGGTTTCTTTGGAATTCCTATTTGTTTATTTGATTCCCCCAAATAAATACTGGAAAAAGATTCAATTGCATCCTTCACCTTTCAATCTTTTGTTTGAAATTCGCTGAGGGATGATTCACTCTTCAGCTATAGGAAGAAAGATCACAGTTATCACATACATCTGTTCGTGTTGCTATCATGTTTGTTGTTCAGCATTGTGGGGAAATAACACTGCCCGCACGAAGGCCCTGTCAACAAAGACATCGGCATTGAGATGACACCGGTTCATGAGCCATTACTGTTTCTCGTGACTTTACCCAAGTGTTCAAGAATAGGGAGATTTTGATGTTAGTAGACAATGACGATAAGACCAGGTTCCAGTGCGTAACACACACTAGATTCTTCTTAAAACATTTTCAGCGAGTTATAGACTGTGCATTTCAGAGTCTGTTAATTTTGATGATAGAATATACTTTAGTGTCGCACTTCATTTACATGTTGCTAATGTGGATGTGGAATTTCTTTCCAAGTCACTGATATCATTTTAACATTTAAGGACTAATCCAAAATAGATCCTTTAAGTCCAGTTTTGTACTCTGAGGAATGATAAGAGCGTCGTGGTAGGAGCGCCGAAAAGTGGGTATGGGGTGGTCGGATACCAGTTACTTGGCTGCTTGGCGCACCCATCTGGCATTTCATCCCATACATTGAAACTGCTTCCTTTGGGTTTTCAGGTTGCACTGATTGTCAGGTTGGGAACGAGACGTTCCGAGGTCACTCCAGGTTTGAATACACGGAGAACTGCCAGAAGTACCGATGTATCTGCCACTGCGACGGCTCCCACGACTGTCCGGCTCACTACACCGTCAACGTCTGTGACCAGGGTGAAGACAAGGAGCGGCGGCGTGAATCAACCTGCAAGACTTGTGACGCCAAGGGAAAGATCGTCAAGGGCAACAACTACTTTGATCTTCAAGATGGCTGCATCCTCCATAAAAACTGTAAGTGCTTCTGCGATGGGAGGTGGGAGTGTTCCGCCAACAGGACTGAGAACACCTGCGTCAAGAAAGTCGGAGAAGGCAGTTGCGGAGAGTGTGAGGTTTATGGTAGCTTCCATCCAGGCAACTCCAGGTTTAAGTATGAGGAAGGGTGTTTTGAGTATAACTGTGACTGCAGCTGCAATGGGTCTTGGTCCTGTCCACCTGACAGAACAAGAGACATCTGTCAGAAGGGATGTGGAGAGTGTGAAATACGAGGCGAATTCTTCGAAGGCAACACCTACTTCAACCACGAAAAAGGATGCCTTGAGTACACCTGCTTCTGTCATTGTAACGGATCATGGAACTGCTCTGGAGATAGAATAAAGAATATCTGTAAGCCGACTGAACAGCCTGACAAATGTAGTCAGTGCCAAGTATCAGAGACAAATTCTTATCCTGGCAATTCCACTTTCCAGTTAAGGAAGAAGTGCATCAGCTACGAGTGTTCATGTAAGTGTGATGGAAGCTGGGATTGCCCTGGAGTGCTAGCAAGGAACATCTGCAGGGGGGAAAGACCAGGAGGGTGCAAGAGCTGCCAGGTGTCTGATGAAGAATTCTACCCAGGAGATTCAGACTTTGATATGAGAAAGGGGTGCATTCACTACAAATGCAATTGCAATTGTGACGGAAGTTGGAGCTGCCCAGGGGAGAAAGCTAGGGATGTTTGTAAAGGAGAAGTTCCCGGTGGGTGCAAAAGCTGCAAACTGTCAGAAACAGAATTCTACAGGGGTGAATCTGACTTTCAGATGAGGAGGGACTGTATTCACTACAGCTGCCACTGCAACTGTGACGGAAGCTGGAACTGTCCCGGAGCAGCTGCGAGAAATGTCTGCCGTGGTGAGATTCCCGGTGGATGCAGAAGTTGCCAATTATCGGATGGGAAAGTATATCGAGGGAAAACCAACTTCCGTCAAACAAGTGGTTGTGTTGTTAAGGACTGCAGATGTTCATGTAATGGAACGGTTGAATGTGATGAAGAAACTGCTGCTAACGTCTGTACAACTCCAGCTCCAACAAGGCCACGACAGAGGACTGTCCGACCCAGACAAAACATAGACAACTGTCAGAAGTGTATTGTGGAGGGTACTGACTATGAGGCCAACTCCAATTTCAAACTGAAGAGGGGTTGTTACGTCTACCCATGTCAGTGCAATTGTAATGGTAGATGGGGCTGTAACAGAGATGGTGCTACTGATGTATGCGCTGGTAAATCAGCAGCCCAAGGAGGGTCACGCATAGGGCAAAGCAGCTGTCAGAGATGTATTGTGCAGGGCAGAACATATCCAGGTGAAACTGACTTCCGTCTCCGGAGAGGCTGCATCTCGTATAAGTGTAAATGTGCCTGTGATGGGCGCTGGGAATGTCCTGCTGGCAAAGCATCAAACTTCTGCCCAGGATCAAGGGAACCAACTGTTGGGTGTAAGCGGTGTGAAGTGGATGGGCAAAGCTACTCTGTAGACAGTAACTTTGATATGAGACGAGGCTGTGTCCGGTACAAGTGCAAGTGTAGATGTGATGGCTCCTATGGCTGTCACGTCACGCAAGATAGCGCTTGTACTATTGGAGAACGCCCTGCTACCTGTGGTAACTGTGAAATCGGTGGATTCGTCTACCCAGGCAACATGGGCTTCGTTATCAGAGATGGCTGTATGCAGAAGGAGTGCAACTGTTACTGCAATGGGTCATACATTTGTCCTGATGAAAACAGAGTAGACATTTGTCGGAATAAACAGGCTTCACGGCTTCTGAGGGATGGCACATTCACAAGCACTGGAAATCTGGGTGAAACGTTTGGAAGTGGAACTCAAGTGTTTAATCAAGGCGGCCAGCAGTACACTGTAACAAGAAGAAATCAGTTTAGGGGTGGTCAAACTGGCAAGGTTGGACAAGTCGGCCAAGTTGACCGATCTGGAAAACATATCCGGACTCATGGAACCCAGTTTCAGATTCCTGGCGGACCAATGTTCCCACAAGGAGGAAGGCCCTACGTTTTGAGAGGAAGCATCCCACTGGGTGGACCTATTTCTCCCGGTCAGATCGTCACTCGTGGAGGTCAGCAGTATGTCCTCAGGGGTATGAGACAGTTTTTGGTACCAGGTAGAGGTCAGTTTACACCCATGGGAGCTATACCAAATCCAGCACAAAGAAACTTTTATCAACAGATTATAAATCCTGCATTACGGGGTCAAGGGAACCCAGGAATGGGTGCTTCCCTGGGAGGTGCCACTGGTCAGTATTCACAAGCCCAATACGGTTTAACAGGGCCACGTCCAGACGCTGCTGGGAGTCTTCATGGTGGTGTACCCACATACAATGTAAGAACATCTGATGCCACGGGCGGTTCCAGGACTGTACACACTGCTAGAACCCATGGCAACCAAGGGGTGCTGGCAGAATGGCATATGGATCGGCAGTGTTCCAAGTCAAGGCTCCATACGCCCCTGGTAAACGTACAAGACATGTAGGGCAGGTAGCTGTGAACCCTAGACCAGGTTGCAATAACTGTTCGGTTGAGAGGCAGAATCACAGAGGGGGCTCCACATTTCAAATCACTAAGGACTGCGTTCAGTTCAATTGTAGCTGCGAGTGCAGTGGATCCTGGACATGTTCAGGGGAATTCTCCACTGGCTGCAATTCAACCGAGCCGAGCAGAAAACCCCAAGGAGACGATGCCGGGACTTGCAAGAGGTGCTCCCTAAAGGGCAGTACATATCCTGGTGACAGTACCTTCCAGCTGGTTCAAGACTGCTCAGAATACACCTGTACATGCACATGCTCGGGAAAGTGGTACTGTCCAGTACAGAAGCCAAGAAACATATGTGACAGGCCCCGAGGCGAACTGCGACAGAGGACAGCTTCTTGTCAGCTTTGTGACGTCAGAGGGACGGACTATCCACCTCACTCTGAGTTCTTGTTGAAGGAAGGCTGTGTGCAGTACAAATGCACATGCAACTGTGACGGTACCTGGGTTTGTCCACCTGCAAATTCCGTGAACGTATGTCAAGAGGACAGAGAGGAGGAAAGAAGAGAACGTGAAGAGGCAGCCAGAAAACAGAGATACACAACCAGGCTTCCCAAAGCTGGGGAAACGTATTCACCACTAACGTTCCAGTGGGCCAGGGACCCAAGACCAGATACTCTAACACAAGGAACGGCATTTCTTACAAACAGACCTCCTGCCAGAGCTGTGTTGTCAAGGGCAAGTCTTACATCCCTGAAAACGAGTTCAAATTCCGTGAAGGGTGCACCCAGTACAAGTGTCAGTGCTTCTGCAATGGTACATGGGACTGCCCAGCACAGGACACCATCAACCTCTGTCGCTCCCCTGATTACAGAATCGACGGATGCAAACAATGTGAAGTAAAGAATGAAACGTATCCTGGGGGCAGTCCATTCCGCTATAGGGAGGGGTGCTGGGAGTTCAACTGCTTCTGTGGCTGCAATGGGGAATGGAGCTGCCCAGCTAACCGTACTACTGACATGTGCAAGCGCTCAGGGTCAGTGTCCTCCAAATGTAAACCTTGCATGATAGACGGCAAAGTGATCAGGTCTAAGAGCAACTTCAACATGAGACGAGGCTGTTCCGAGTTCCTCTGCGAGTGCAACTGTGATGGGAGCTGGACCTGCCCCAAGGACCGGTCTCTCAACATCTGTGAAGGAGAAGGAAAAACACCAAGTCCACATTACAAACTGAAAGGTAAGGCAGAGATTCATTTGCAACCGACATGGGCACATGAAATAGGTCCTACTGAAAAAAAGAAAGAATTTTGTAGAGGAAAGGGCCGTGATGATTCCGATAATGTCAAGGCCTCTTGGACCTGTCTTTTTAATAGCTGTGTCGGGAATAACGAATTACAAATAATGTTTGTAAGAACAACACCGTACATATCGGAACCATTTTCATAAGGCTGCAGAGTCTAAGCGTCTGTCATATTTATAAAGGTTATGTTTCATATATGTGTGGTTCTTTCTGTTCGTGTTCGATTCACTACATGGGCACAACGTGTAAAGCCCATTTCTGGTGTGACCCGCCGTGATATTGCTGGAATATTGCTAACAGGCGGCGTCAAACCCAACTCACGCACTCTTCCTGTCCTTGGAGCATGTGCCTGGTCTCCCTGGCAATGCAGAGTTGCGTACCTCAGGCGTGCCAAGAACTTGTGTTTGGTACCAGGGTTTTCCTATATGTGTCGAGCTTGTTCAGCACCATACCCATGATGGTTGGTTTTACCAAAATGATAAATGTCAAAGATATCCATCACTCTTAGGTTCCCTCCCACATAGAGCTGACCCGCTATCATGTAACTGAAACTATGATGGAAGGTTAGGTTGAGTCAGCTGAACCAAACTCACTCACTCGTATTCTTTTAGGTTGTACTGTCGGCAACCGGACGTTCTTCAGCCGACTGTTCGCGTATACAGAGAACTGTGTCCGCTACATGTGCATCTGCTACGACAGTGGTGCCTGGAAGTGTCCCGCACAGAAGAGCAAGAGAGTGTGCTGATCGTCACAGATTAAAGATGCGATAAACGTCATATAACATCGGTGCATCAGGTCGTCATGCACAAGGGACATTTCCTCCGTTAAAGCACGGTGATATCATTCTACAACGGCAATGTAAAAGTTGCATCTTTGGTTCACTTTTTTGTTTGAACATCATTTCCCTGTTGTAAATAATTCAACCAAAATCATATCACTTTTACGCCTGTCATTAAAATTCGGTTGTTATCTTTTTTTAACTTCGGAAACACACTTTACTTCGTAACAAATGACGGTCAAAGTATTGTTGTCTACACAGGGGCTTGTAACGCTAGAAACTGCCATCAAGGTATACACTGTTATATAAAAGAATCCTTTTATATAGTAACTACCCCGTTAGTAACAGTAGATACATTGGTCGCAGTTTTTAGCGTTACAAGCCCCCGTGGTTGTCTATACCACCGAACATGTCAAATGGCCATATATGTAACATGAATATTTTGTCTGAACATGGTCATCTAAACTTTCATTGTTGCCTTCAGCCAAAAGACGGGTGCTCTCGACAAACTGATCCCTAAGAGATTGAATGAAGGGTGCTTAAAATCACTACAAAAACAATAGAATATTCTATCAATTTTTCTTCTGCCTAAGCATGGGGTATAAATATCTGTGTTATTTTGTTATTCTGTCGTATTCTTGAATATGTTATAGTTGTACACTCTATATCCAAAATAGCCGTCGCCCTTATTTTCAAATGTTATATATAGCTGCGTGGTCCTGGTGAGAATAGACACAAAATGCAATATTTCCCTGCTTACGTGCCGACTAATAGATCATCCTGGTGGTGGTGTTTCCAAAAAGTTATGCCCTGTTTTGGTCTCTAACGGAAATACCAGACAAGTCCAATGATTAGCCACCCAACGTTGTACAAAACCTATTTTAATTCAAAGGCTTGAATATCAATTTATCCAAAATTTATTAACAAATTGATTTCATAAAGAAAACTGGAAATCATTTGCGTCTATCGATGTACATTTGTATATATTAGTATACTCGACACACGCACCGGCGTATATCAATTTATATATGTGGTGGGATAGTAGGGACAGTATATTTTGTTGACCTTGGATCTGTATAAGTTCATACGTCCAGGATGAACCTTTGTCATCTATAAGCGTAACGTGCCCTCTGCATATGGAACAGTGTTCTCTCCCTAAGGACGAATGATGGGATATTATCTGGGCAAAATGTCTATGAGGGATAGACTTAAGGGTATTTAATCAGCCATCAAACTGTTCAACTGCTCCATGGTGGTACTTCTGTTGGAAGCGGGTCAGTGACGTCCCTCCACGCAGTATACATCGACAACATACACATCGCTCTGTTGTAAATGAAAGAACATCCAGTGATTACCTATTGCATTTAACGAACGTGGGGTACACACAATACACACGTCTGTGAAGTTATCGTCTGCAAATCATTTATGGGGATACATGCCAATGTATGGGTGCACAGCGAGTGATCAGATGCCGACACGAAACTTCAGCTGTGCCTTAACACACGGCTAAAGAAATATAAGAGTGTGATTACAGTAAAGGTTGCGTTTGAATGTGAAATAATTAATGTTTACATTTCTGCATGCTCTACAAATGTCATATCAACGAGTTTTTTATGTTTGTAACGTCTTGGATATTGTTGATTTTATAATAAATTACCAACCATTTCTTCCAATGTGTGCTTTTTTATCTTGTTTACAAACATTGAAATATTCGCTTGAGATTAATCAGTCAATCAACAACATTACCTGGTGTATTACCTCACATTCGCGTGAGTATGATTCCACTCCGTGGTATACAATCAGGTGTGGGGGGCACTGTGAGAGTGGGAGGTGGTGTGGCTGTAATATCACATCTATAATCACCCTGACAAAACCAGTGATCAAGGAACCCTGTGGGTATTCCTGGTCACAACTGGTCCCAATCTATCTGTGCCCATCCTACAACACAACTTCATGGGTGGCGAGGTCTGACTTAGTGACATAGTTGATAATCCAACAGCTTTGTCTGTACCTGTATGCCTGGTCCACCCTGGATTACTTACAGGTCGTGGTCCTTTTGCTGAAATAATGCTGAATGTGGCGTCCACCAACAAACAAATGCAAAACAATGGTGTCATACGTAGGAGAGAATTGTGTCATTCCAGCTCACAATTAAGCTATTGGTTGAACTTTCCACAGCAGGGGAGTTAACTGAGTAAAGAAGTCTCATTTTCCAATGAACTTCAATAGTAAGTTAATTCCCTTGCCTACAGTGATAGTTGGTGAATTCCACTTTGAACAGTATTTCAGTTATATTGAAACGTGGAAAACCCACAAAATACAAACGTTTCAATCTAGAACTAAAACCCCAAACAAGCAGACCATGGAATAGAAGAAAGTTGCAACATAGTTGTAGTGCTTTGACTCCAAGGCTACCAAAGCAAGATGTCGGTTTTCTTCACTGTGTAGTGGACAGTCACAAATAGAAGCCAGTCATTCAGACCACCCATGTATGTAAGGAGGTAGCTCAGTGGTCAAAGCATGGATTCATAATGCCAAAGACCAGGTTTGACTCCCAACATAGGTGCACAATATCAAGCTGAAAGCTGCAAAGAGTATTGCAAGCATGGATGATAAGATGTGGGGAGAAGTCATGATGACAGCAACATCACACAACTTATAGTAAGTGAGTATGGTTTTACGCTGCTTTTAGCAACAGTGAGTGAGTGAGTAGCCGCTAGGCTACCCAACAACCCAACACACGTTATAACAAAAACTGTAATGTTACAAATCCAGATATCCAAGCTGCAGATACAGAAACATTACAAACACCAATATTATACAAAAATACTTTATAACATTGTAAACATCCAACCTGGATGAAGTGACAACAAGATCACACAGAAACATAAGAAACCCAAAAATTATACCAATATACTTTATTAAATTGTAAACACCCAAAATGGATGAATACAACGAGATTACCCATAAACATTACAAACACCAATGTTATACCAAAATACTTCATGTAATTGTAAACATCCAACCTGGATATATACAGGAGATAACCCAAGCAGCAACAACCACACATTGCTGTTTACCACATCAATAGTAACAATAATATACTTCATGTATGTACCTTATGAAACAGGACATTGGAAACAGATATTCCTGGGGTTTGTAGGAAACAATGGATTACATTTTCTGTAGGAATGTAAAAATACATAAAGCATATAGCAATAAGAATGAAAGGAGCTTCAACACAACAGGATTATTTCAATAACCTGGTAATAACAAATTCAATATGGCTGCCCTGATGCATCAAAATGGGATGGGAACAGCAGTTACTAGTAGGTTGTAGAACCTCCATCGATCATATTAAAATCATTTCACCTTCTTAAAAATACATGCACCCAAATTAGGAGGTTCAGAAATGCACTTCATAAAAAAGCTGTTGAAAATGCAAAAAATGTACAATAACAGGGTTATTTCAAAATAGTGAAACATTAAACCATGTAAAGAAACATATGTAAGTCCTCACACCACAAACCTGCTGCATGTCAAATTTACAATAACACTCATACAATCATACTCGCTATCTCTGATAAATCTCCACTAGCAACCTGGATGCACCTACTGCTCGACCCGATAATTGCATTACCTCCCTTTGCTGGGTCCGCCTTCTCACAGCAGCCAATCAGGTAAGCCTTATCAGCCGAGCTTGCCAGTGCCAACAAAGATGGTGGCCGCAGCCGGGAAGGTTAGCTTGCTGTGCTCCTCAGATTTAGAGAAAAAATCATACAGACAAATTGACAGGTCTGAAACCTTCAAAAATATACATGTGTATGCAAGAACTCTTCTACCTCTTTCAGGGTACCTCTGCAACAATTGTGTTGCCAAGTTTAATCGGTTAGATAAAGAAGCGGGAGTGAGTTATGATAGAAGACTTGTGATTGGTCCTCTCAACTTCCCAGCATCTCTCAGCTTCCCAGCGTAGACACCTGATTGGATAAAAATACAGCAAACAGAGGTAATATGAGTCTTGGATGCATCCTGGGTACTAATGCAGTTTTATGAAAACTTATACCCTGGAGATTATCAAGGATGGCATAAAGTGAGTAGTGAGTAAAAGCAAGAACTGATAGGACAAAATCAGCAGAGAGCTATAAAGAGACTACTTGCTAAGTAGGATACGTATGGGAATTTCTTCTGATTATATGCACTGTGACATGATTGATAATGTTACCAGGGCCTAGATTTCGCTACGATTGTCGTAACTTAATGTAAATGTATGGCGCTTACGACTATCTTAGCTCTAAGAGAGCTTCGAAAATCTAGGCCCTGGCCTCTAGATTAATATGGACACCCAACTACTCAGTGAAGATACTATGGTTCAGTAAAGTCACATAAAAATTAATATAGTCAGTTATAAGAAATTCTGTGATCAGAATCGAAAATATAAGCCTCATCAGTAAAATGATGATAAATCAATTAACATCTGATTCAACACAGTGTAAAGATAACAGAACTGCACCTCAAAAATGCTGTTGTAATTCAGATCCAATTGCTCCATCCCCAACACATGGGATTAGGGACGTACAGACATCTAACTTCAGCATGTTAAGCATATCAAATACATTCAATAGCTCCATCCCCATCACTATCACATGGGATGGGGGACATACAGACATCTAACTTCAGCATGTTAAGCATATCAAATACATTCAATAGCTCCATCCCCATCACATGGGATGGGGGACATACAGACATCTAACTTCAGCATGTTAAGCATATCAAATACATTCAATAGCTTCACCCCCATCACTTGGGATGGGGGACATACAGACATCTAACTTCAGCATGTTAAGCATATCAAATACATTCAATAGCTTCACCCCATCACTTGGGATGGGGGACATACAGACATCTAACTTCAGCATGTTAAGCATATCAAATACATTCAATAGCTTCACCCCCATCACATGGGATGGGGACATACAGACATCTAACTTCAGCATGTTAAGCATATCAAATACATTCAATAGCTTCACCCCCATCACTTGGGATGGGGGACATACAGACATCTAACTTCAGCATGTTAAGCATATCAAATACATTCAATAGCTTCACCCCATCACTTGGGATGGGGGACATACAGACATCTAACTTCAGCATGTTAAGCATATCAAATACATTCAATAGCTTCACCCCCATCACTTGGGATGGGGGACATACAGACATCTAACTTCAGCATGTTAAGCATATCAAGTACATTCAATAGCTTCACCCCCATCACTTGGGATGGGGGACATACAGACATGTAACTTCAGCAGTATACCAAGTTTATTCTACAGGTATCAAATATCACAAGGGTGGAATGTTGCATTAAGAAAGTATATGCCAGATTGTCGACGCATAACACAAAAATCATGTGATATTTCCTGACTGCTTTTACCACCAAGGTATCACAACTAGATTTGACATCACAAACAATGATGTACAGTGTATCGAGGTAACTCATTGTTTCTTCATTCCTCGTACAATCTAGGTATTAATTTGCTTGCTACAAACTCACACAGTTGGCTGGCTGGTATGGAGTTTGATTCAGCCTTACTTGCCACAATTAACTTCCAATTACCTTCCATCAGATCTGCTTGTGGTTGCAAGATAGGTCTATTATCCAACATTAATATTTCACCACAAATAACTTCCTGGAACTTGAGGAATGGAACAACATTGTTTTGATAGGAAAAAATGGTTACTTGAGTCAAAAGTACCTCTTACAGAGTTTAAAAAGCTCAAATTGCTCGCCTGTGAAAATATCAGTCAAATGTTGCTCTATTATGAACTTTAACAAGTCCCTACAGTATTCTGATGAGGTGTAGTGGGGCTAGTTAATACGTTTATACAGCGTGAAAATAGTAAGGTCTGCTCTGTTCCTGTAGCTGGTCAGCCTTTAGACTGGTAACACAGTAATGTGTCACAAAGAAGGACACTGAAGTGAGTGAGTGAGTTAAGTTTTACGCAGCACTCAGCAACATTCCAGCTGTATGAAAGCTGTAAATAATCGAGCCTGGACCAGACAATCCAGTGATCAACAGCATGAGCATCGATCTATGCAATTGGGAACCGATGACATGTGTCAACCAAGTAAGTGAGCCTGACCACCCTATCCTGTTAGTCGCCTCATACAACAAGCATGGTTTACTGAAGATCAATTCTAACCCGGATCTTCACAGATGAAGGACACTGAAATAGTCAGACAAGATGTGCTACTGGGAGTGAATAGCGTGCCACTTGGACTACATGATGTATTGCCAGGAGTAACATAACATGCATTTGATAACCGTAACATGTGTCAAAAGGAAAATCGATAATTAGCAGTAGCATACAAATAACAGTCTATCGCAATCGATAGCACTAAACACCTACCACATGAATATGAAAACATGTTGCTGGAATGTGATGTGATTGAGTGCTCAAGGAATAGCTGGCAAAGAGATAATATAAACAGTAATAAAGAATGTAGACATACCTGTAGATATTCTGGAGGATAAGATAGTATTTATCAACAAGATAACAACTCAGACCTTATCCATGAACTTGATGCCAGTGTTTGAAATAAACACTTGCCCATAGGCCTGTGGTATGTAGATTTAATGTTGGGCCTGTAGTTTGAAATTTGTATGGGTCCTTATGGACTGCAGTAAATTTTCTTGAAGTATTTGTCTCTGTGAGCTGCAGGGTGTCATAAAATACCGTCTGGGCTTGCAGCCCTCTCAAGTCTGTAGGTCCTTAAGTTAGGCTGGCAAAGGATATTTCAAACACTGCACACTTCCAACTAGACATGGAGTCAGTCTACAAAATAGTGTTTAAAGCCTATCTGACTGTGTAAATTCTTTAATTGTGAATGACAGTCGGTGTGTTCCAGTCTATGACATGAACTGTCCCGGCCACTCCGCTCATCTCCCGGTACACCAGGAAGGGAGGTCCAGGGAGGAGAGGGTTTTCAGCCGAGTACACCGTGCAGGTCTTGAAGGCACAGGGGGACTCCCTCCAACTGTATCTGAGTCCCAGGATAGTCTGCCCCTCCCCACACACTAGGGAGAACAGTGTGATGCTAGTAGGGAGGGCAGACAGGATGGGGGTGGGGGTCCAGAATGTAATGCTGGATTTGTTTACAGTGCAGAGAACCTGAAATATAATCATGTGAAACAAGTTTTAGCCTGCACTTTCACCTTCTGATGATGGTTGAACATCTTGTTAACATCAGGTATACACCTATCTATTTGCCAATTTACCAGGTCTTTCCAGAAACAACCTTAGTTCTTAAAGTGTTGACACAGGACAAGCCTCAGATCAAAGAGCAGCATTTGTTTTTTCTAAAAAAACATTCCATGCTTTATATGGACTAGTAACTATTATGGAAATGACCCACTGATCTAGACACCTACTTCAAATCCGACCATATTGTTGTACTTGATCTTCTCTGTGTACATCAGGGTGAGGTTTGTCGTGCCTTCTTGTATCTGTGCTGGTAGAGGTCCCTGAGTTCCCTCCCCTTGCTGGTTGTAGGCGACACTCATCCCACTGACGGCCAGCCTGGCAACAACATCCTGTTTGTCTCGGGGGTGGATGCTAGAAAAACACACAAAACACATTAGCACCAAACACTAACAGCTCTTATAGTGGAAACTATCATTACAAGATGGCACTCCATCCATGTTTCATGAAAAATATTCAACCATCAAATGATGCCTTACAGATAGAGTGAGTGAGTGAATATTGCTTCACTCGGAACTCAGCACTAGACAGTTTTGCAGTAATTTGCAGTGAGACCTTACTGAGAGAACAACAAAACAACACTGTCAGATTTGTAAGCATATACTTTTATCGACAACATTGAATTTTAGGCCAACAATTTTGTAAACCAACTAGCAAAATATGAAATGCCTGATTGTCCTTACCTTCCATAGGGAGAGGCAAAGTCTGGGAGATCCATGGCAACAGACATAAAGACATTCTGCATCCTGGGATTGGGCACATAGCCGTAGTCAGCTGTCTGGTGCCACCGGATCTCCGGGAACGCCGGGTCCACACTGTCAGGTCTGTAGGCAGCCAACTGGAACCAAGCAATGGTAATTACGTCATAGTATATGTAAATACACTTAGACAAGTATTGTTGAAAAAGGCTCCCACATTGTTGAGCTAAGGTCTCCTAGAGTTCTCCTGTTGGTCTAGTTGTGACGCTGGGCGGTGACTGCAGGTTTAGATGATCCACTAGTGACTTAGAGATCAAAGTCTCCAAGAAAACATTACTCTGAGAAATGGTATTAAAATAAAATATTCTTCTTCTTTCAAGATTTGTTTTTTAATGAACTATTTCAATATGGACACATTTCAAACAGACTGATGTAAGTTCAAGTATAAGAGTGCAAGTGTACCTGAACAAAGCCAAAAGGAAACACAGGATCAGTTTCTCCATCGGATGCGTTGTGGAACTTCTGTCTCCAGTCATCTATCATGCTGGGGAATGTACAGTTGTACTTGTGGAGGTTCTTGACTTCGTTTGATTCACCTACACAGAGATTACAAGGAACATATTTGAAAGAAAAGAAGTGCCACAGGGAGACAATATTCCAGTTACCGAAGGTGGTCTGAGAATAATCAACTCTGGATCACAAAATCCAGTGACTGATGCAATCAACAGCATCATCAGCATATGATGACGTGTTATCAGACACAAGCATTATGGCTAACGTGGAATGTAGGTCGGGTGATAGTCCATTCACAGGAACATGATGAAGACAGATAGACAGATAATAAACAATTCCTAAGTTATGATCTATGAATGCTTTTAAATAATGTGTGTACCGCACATTGTCTATACATCAAGCATCCTTGAAAAAGTCACATAGGGTTTACTGCGTTTTCACATTTTGCGCCTGTCACATTAACTTTTCTACGATTGTTCTGCATTTGAATTACAGAGACTTCGGAAATGTCAGCTGCTTGTTCCATGTGTTTTAGTGCATACTAAAACCTCAGAGTCTCAGCAGAGACTGGCATACAGCATTCGTTTCCTGGTTCGATGCCATCACTATCATCTTCCACATGTTCCACATCTGTATTTTGGGATGTCATTGATTCCTCAATTAGTTCTTTGTCCCCCTGCTTCCCAAAACAGGAAGATCGTCGTCGATTGCATTATACAATTCCAGTTTCGAGATTGTTGATAGGGGCATTCTTTGCTGCATATTCCCCGTACTTCATTAGTGCATCAGTTACGTCTTCTGGGTGAAATCCAAGGAAGTCGTCATCAGTGAAAGCTTCAAAGAGCACCTTGCTCCAGCACTTTTCGATCGATCGCTGCGAAACACTTTGCCATGCCATGTGGGAGGTCATGATAGCATCTTTCACCGACGCGGTCCTAAGGAAATCCACGGGAGTGAGTCCAGATGTAATAGCACTATTCACTAGCCCTCTCCTGTATGATGTCTATGATCCACTGGTTGAAGGAGAGAGGGAGTATTCTTTGGGAGGACTGCTCAAATTTTTCCATCATGAGATATTAGCATGGTCATAGGTGGGTGGGTGGGGCAGTCGTCCATCAGGAGTATAGCCTTTTTATCTAGTCGCAATGATTGTAAGTACTCTGACTGCAAGGATGAAACCATTCCTGGAAGATAACTGCAGTCATCCAGGCATTCATTGAGGCCGTGTAGACAGCAAATGAGGTGAATCGGTTAACATCGTGGAGACAATAATAAGGGGCTTCAGCTTGCGCTTTCCTGTTTTATTACTTGTCAGCAAAAGGTCACACGTTGTTTGGCCATCTTGAACCAGCTGGACGTTTATCTTCTGGCATGGCCAAGGTTCTATCTTATAATACTGCCCAGTCTCGTCACAGTTATAAATTTGTTCCGGGCCCAGGCCTTCTGACTCTATCAAACTCCGCAGTTCAGCCGGATAATTGCTTGCTGCTTCCTGGTCGGCAGATCGAAAATGACTTTTGCCATGACGGTGTTGGAAGAGCCATAGCCATCCAGAGCTGATCTTGAACGAGTCTTTAGATCCATGAATATGTCCTAAAAACTTCAGTGTTTGAATCTCCATAATCTGTCCAAATACAGGTGTGTAAACCACAAAAACAGAGCTTTGTCCAGCGTCGTATCATATGCCATCTGAGCCTTCTTCAAGCTAAGACACACAAACTTTTATAACGACAATTATTCCAGCACTCACTTCTCCTACTTTGAAAGTAATTACAGTTTAATTTAAACTGTTACAAAGTGCTTTGTTTCAGGCTGTCTGAGCTGAGAATGTGTTTTTTTAATTCTTCAGGTGATTCTGATTTGTTTCCACTTATTGTCTGGAATCCACTCCGGCTGACACAGAGCATGCATGCACCACGTTGTTACGCCAATGACAACACCTGGCATGTTTGATGTTCAAATTAGTTTTGAAAGTTCAAAAAGCTGATCTCAGAAAAAGCTGATCAACAGAGAATGCAGCAATATATAAGGTAGATGTTTGTTTAACAATTAAGGATCAATTGATGATCCCAATTAGATGTGGAGAACACGCATTGTAATAGATGGATCATTAGGTCATCACTGTACACTCATTACACAACATGTAATTACATGAACTTTTGGGGAACCATGCTTTACCCTGCGGTTTAAACAAATCCGCAGTATCGCGAAGAGAGTTATTGCAAGGGATGCCTGTATTTGTGACTAAGAATGTGAAGTATGGCTTAACGGTTCCAATCCTGAAAATTCTGCAAAATACAGATAACCCTGATCTTAATCTTGTTCATAATAATCAAATACCCTGATAAACCATTTCTTTGTTCTGAGCGGGAATGTACTGTGATATAACCTTCACCAGTACTGACTCTAGAAATACATGTGACTACCGTATCTGAGATTATTGTAGTTGGCATTTTAACTTGCTTTCGCAGAAATCTTTTAAGACCTAAATTATAGCATAGGGTCATTTACCTTGATACCAGATAGCTCCATATATGGTCATATTGAGGAGAGGGAAGACCATTCCATTCCACAGAACAGAGGAGGCGCTGGGTCCTCCAAAGCCTGTTGCTGGATCAAATCCTAGTTGATGGTCACTGAAATCCTGTACACTGGTAAAAAATACATAGAAAACATACAAAAATGGACAAAGAAGTGGATTTAACACAGCTCCAATATCATAGCTCCAATGTCCTAAGTTAATAAACTATGAAAACTTAAATAACCTTCTGCATGATGTTTGACGCATGAATGATAAATGAAAGATAAATTGCACAGAAAATGACAGCTCACGCTGTGAACAGCACCAGTCATCGTGTTTGCAGCTCTACAACGTTGCTGTTGTAACTCCCATGTCCAGACAACTGATCAGGCCAAAATGGCTGATGTTGAAAACACTCAAAAATGTGTGCCAGTTTGACAAATATAAGTTAGTTCTTAGGAATAAACACACTAACAAAATGGACAGACACTTCCATCTAATGAATAACCAAAGTCAAACAGATATGACTGGGGTGTAATTCACTGATCTAATGGGTCAAACACAAGGTGACCAAAACCAACGTGAATGTGATCAAATAGCTGACAGAGCTGTCAAAATATCTCTATGTGATGAGGATGTGAAAGGATAAAACATTCAAACTTTGTTGTCTAACACCACACAAAGTAATATTCCAGCTATAGTATACGACAGTGGTCTGTAAAACATTAAGTCTTGACCAGACAATAAAGAGATCTACACCTCTGAGTGAGTGAGTTTAGTTTTACCCCGCTTTTAGCAATATTCCAGCAATATCACGGCAGGGGACACCAGAAATGAGCTTCACACATTGTACCCATGTTGGGAATCGAACCCAGGTCTTTGACTATGATGAGCGAACGCATTAACTACACAACCAGATTTTCATGGCTATGTTCACAGGCAACATTATCCAACATCTGGCATTTTCCTCTGCTGCCAGTTTCTTTGATACAAAATATACAGGACACGCTCAGTATTACGTACTCATCTGTTTCTTCGTGCAATCCACACTTCGCCAAAGCATCTGTAGATGACCACGCCTCCACCGGTGTCCCTCCCCAAGAGGTGTCGATCAGGCCGATGGGGTAGCCCAGCTTCTTGTACAGGGTTTTACCAAACAGCCAGCACACAGCAGAGAAGTACTTCCAAGGTTTCCCACCAACTGATGCTGTTCAAACCAACTTATAGTATAGGATATTTATATAGCGCACACACCCACGCATCTAGTACATCCCTCGATCATTGGATGTCAATCTCAACGGCACATCGTTATTATCAATGTCAACTCTGTGAGGATCATACAACTCTTGCAGCCACTATGTGCACCACGTTAGAGTGGCTTTACCATCCTTACAAGGTACCCATTCACAGCTGGGTGATACGTTCGTAGCCCAAAGAATTCTTAACTTTGATTGTAGCCAATGTATTACAATTGGGCTTAAGAAGTTTGTAGGGATACGAACGCTTCTAGAATAGATAGCCTGGTCATCTACCAATGGATTTGTGAGTTCTTTTAAGTGCACAGGGTTGTGTACTGTACACTAGGGGTTGTGACAACACTGAAAGAGCCTGCACACAAAGTTGACTCCAAGGTTTTTACACCCGGTCACAGGTGGGCTCGATCCTGGATAACTAGCCTGGCGCCCTAAGGCAGCTCGCCCACCACAACCCCATTAGAGTGCATCTCTAATGTGCTAACATTCAGCTTGAAAAGGCACTAATAACTTCTGTACAGGTTCTATTGTTACTGCTTAGACATGTCCTCTCCTGAGAACAGAGCTGTGAACCAGTGAAAGCAATCTTATAATTCACTAATTTACAGTTGCACTGACAATTTTACTTTGTTCTCTCCAGTCAACAAACTACCAAGAATCACCTTAACCAAATGCATAGCCATTTCCCACGAAACACAAGTACCACAAAAGGTAGCCGTGAACACAGTTATCAATTATTCTTATTTCATTATTTGTCCTCTTGACTCCTGCAGGCAAAAACTGATAAAAAATAATTAATACATCAGACCTTATCTGTTCATTAAGTGTAGATGTATGAAAAGGTTATTCAATTACAAACAAGCATTGTCACTAAGGTGACATAATCCCACGCCGCAAATTATCAAATCAAACTTATAAAGTAATGAAAGTTTAAGTTAAATGTCAACAAAAACATGACCAGTCAACCTCCCTTTAAAGTCTTGCTCTTTAGGTGTTCAAACACACACATATTTTCAAGACTGACTTTGACATGAATGTCATAGTGTATGAAATATGCAAAAATAGTACTTAAGAAATTGCTTTTTGAAAAACATTTAAGGGAAGTCTTGAAAGTCTTTGAAGAAGATCCAGTGAACTGTTTTTGAAATATCTTGCTGACAATTCAGGTTGACATGCTCAAATCTTCAAAGTGTTTCTGTGACCTTGAAAATTAAGTGAAGGTCACCAAAATCGACTGGGCCCTGCGCCTTACCTAGATAAAGCTTTGTATTGAATATGAAGAAAATCCAGATAGCTTAACATGCAGGTTCACATGAGATCATCAAAGCTTAAAACTATGCGAAGGTCCTCAAAATCGATTGGGCCCTGCGCCTTACCTAGATAAAGCTTTGAATTGAATATGAAGAAAATCCAGAGAGTGGTTCTTGAGATAGCTTAACATGCAGGTTTACATGCTGAAATCATCAAAGTGTCGCCATGACCTTGAAAATTATGTGAAGGTCATCAAAATCGACTGGGCCCTGCGCCTTCCCTAGATAAAGCTTTGTATTGAATATGAAGAAAATCCAGTGAACGGTTCTTGAGATAGCTTAACATGCAGGTAAAACGTTTAATACCCCTTATGACCTTGAAATTAAGGTCAAGCTCACCAAACCTGACTTAAACCTTTCTGATACTGTGATGTAATTAGGTTCCAATAATGAAAAGAATCTAGTGAACGGTTCTTAAGATATTCCAATTCGTACGGACGGACGGACGGACGGAGGGACGGAGCCTAATACTATATCCCTCGCTTCGCGCTAAACGCGCGGCGGGGGATAATAAAAGTATTTACTAAAGAGTCAGCAGGGAAGGGCATTGTAACTATATATCATCATATCACAACTCATGTTGGAACCCGTGAAGATCCGGGTTAGAATTGGTCTTCAGTAACCCATGCTTGTCGTACGAGGCGACTAACGGGATCGAATGGTCAGGCTCGCTGACTGGGTTGATACTTGTCATCGTATCCCAATTGCGTAGATCGATGCTCATGCTGTTGATCCCTGGATTGTCTGGTCCAGACTCAATTATTTACAGAATATGAAATATTGCTAAATGCGGCATAAAACTCAACTCACTCACTCACTCTCATGTTGGCGGCCTTGTGGTTAAAGCGTTCACTCATCATGCCAAAGACCAAGGTTCGATTCCCAACATGGCTACTATGTGTGAAGCCCATGTCTGGTGTCACTCACTCAATCACATGTAGCACTTCAAAGCATAATTGGGGCGGTGGGGTAGCCTAGTGGTTAAAGCGTTGGTTCGTCACGCCGAGGACCCGGGTTCGAATCCCCACATGGGTACAATGTGTGAAGCCCATTTCTGGTGTTCCCCGCCGTGATGTTGCTGGAATATTGCTAAAAGCGGCGTAAAACCAAACTGAGTCAAAGCATAATTACACTTGACAGCCTGTATAATTAGGATAAGAGTGGGCCATTTAGTAAAAGTCAGCTAAAAATACCTCACTGAAACACATCAAATAGACTAACGCTTAGTCTCTGAATACAATATTTTTCAAGCAATGGGCACCAGGAAATCTTGTAATTGGTCCAGTTCATTGTGTACCAATACAAGCTGAGTTCTCAGCTGCAGCTGCTAGCTGCCCTCTTTCCTCAAGCTCCACACATCATTCCAATACGTAATAGTTCTCTGTAGCTGTAGGGAGCTATATACCTGATTGGTTGGTTGGTTTGTTGTTTAATGCAATATTCCTGCTATATGGCAGCAATCTGTAAATAATCGAGTCTGGACCAGAGAATCCACAGATCAACAGCATGAGCTTTGATCTACGCAACTGGGATATGATGACATGTGTCAACCAACTCAGCAAGCCTGACCACCTGGTCCCGTAAGTCAACATCATACGACAAGCATAGGTTGCTGAAGACCAATTCTAACCCGGATATTCTCGGGTCTATAACCCTGAAGGCATATGTCACATTTACACATATGAAGCAGTAGTGCTTATACAAGCACTGATAAAAAGGGATAGATTAATATTTATACGAACATTTGTCAGCAACAGCCCACTGTTCCCAGATGCCGTGGAGGTCAGGGATGGGGAGTGATGAAATAACATCGCCAACGGTAAACAAACGGATGTTGGGGTAGTTGCCGGCGTCAGCGATTTCCTCACTTGCATTGAATCCCTGAATCAAGACAGCAGTGTTGTGTAAACTTAAGAGTGGATTCAAATATATGAGAGGAAATTATTTTCAAACTATATGGGTTTGTGTTAAACTTGCCCAAAGCTTGGTTAATGTGAATTATATAAAATCAGTAGGGAGGTAGTTAAATTCCAAGTACAGTTCTGAGCTTCAAATCTCAAGGTTAGGAACTGTGGCAACTACAAGCAAAAGGAAGCACCATTGAGCAGTGATATATGTTTGTATTGGGTGTCAATTTTTCTGTTTAAACCTGAATCAGGGACAGAAACTAAATTTGACGATAGATGGTGGTGAAATATATGAATATAATGAAGGCAAATCGTTTTGGAAAGCTGACATCGGGCACAATACTCCATGTATCTTTGATTTTGATTCAACAGTCACATTCACTCAGGATTCGACTTAGATAACCAGCTATGGAGATTTGACAGATTATCATAGCAGTAATAAATCTGAGTATAATATTTGAATGTCATCTTTCTCCCACACATACTTGGATCATAGTAAACTGCATGTTGGACTGCCCTGAGCACACCCAAACATCTCCAAACATCACGTCAGTCAGTGTGATCGTCTTCTCGCTGGATATGGCAGTGATCGTGAAGGGCCCAGCACTTGACTCTGCAGGGAGTTTTAGTTTCCACACCCCATAGTTGTAGAGTGGGTCCAGGTACACCTTGGTTGTGTAAATCCCTCTCTCGCTGACTTTGATGATGATTCTCTCACCAATGTTGGCGGCGTAACCCCAGATGGTTGCTCTCTTCGGTGCCTTCTGTAGAACCATGTGGCTGGAGAAGTAGGAGGCGAAGGCAAAGGACTTGGTAAGGCCTGGAAGTCGGGACGCTGCTCTCTGCTGTTCTTGGGATGCTGAAATTTGTAACTCATAAATATTCTATGGTTTTACTTGCCATTTCCTTCTCTGTCTATGCAAAAAGTCCCCTTAACCCTACTATATACTCCCAACAAGCTGACAGCATATAGAGATCCAGGGCTCCAGATAAGGGCCGTATCGGCGTATGTATGGATAAAACACATGCACGATACGGTAGGAAATAATTTAGAAAACGCAGCAGATACGCACCACAGCAATGGTGTACGGTCTTAGAATCATTTATAGACGTATTTATCTGAAAAAGTATTGTATTGTTGTTTATTGACCTGTTTACACAAGAATAGCAATGTTGTGGTGCATATATGAAACGAAACACAAGATTACTGATACTCCATTAAATACCATTCAGTACTCTAAATGTACACTTAAGTTTTTCCAGTACTCCTATATTGAAAAAATAAGGAGTACGTACTCCAGATGTTGAAAAATTATCTGGAGCCCTGGACATCAAAAGACAACTAATCACCACTTTAAACTAAAAATTGAAAAGGGAAATTGCATTTCAGTATTAACAAAGATCTTCGAACATTCTTTGAAAATAAAAGATTTTATGGTTTCTGAGGTTAGTTTATTCTCCTGCTATGGTGGCCATTTTGAACTTTTTGTAATTGAGTAATTATTGCTGAATCCTGTATTAAACATATTGATACTGATATACACATTACAAACAATTGTTTTTCAGATCAGTGCTAACAGACAGACAGACAATGAAGGATGACAGGGGTGGACTGCAGAGTATGTGGTTTACCGTTTAGTAAGGAATAAACTGATCATATTCTGTTTTTACAAAATCAAATTTTCACATCACCATCTCTTAGTTCTAAGAATGTAATCTGTAAATATTTGTGCGTTTGTGTTGAAGACTATTTCTAGACCCTGTATATCATCATGATCAGACAACAGGGTCATTCATTCAAGAACCTCTAAATTACAGGACCAAAATAAACTCATTCTTCTTTAGCACAGAGCAAAAATCTCACTAAAACAAACTTGAACTAAAGTTTGAACATAATGAATGCAAAGATGCAATGAGAGGCACCAAAAAACAACTGCTTGGCTCCCTTCAGAGAATTAACTTATCTAGCTTGGTATTTCACACACACAAATATCTGTTTCTGAAAGAATAAAATAGTATGTCTTGAGGCAAATATTGTCCTTTCATAAAAGAATACGTTCTTTAACTTTTGTTATTAAGCACAGCTAAAACCTTTCAGGTACAGACTGAAAAAGGTTGGATTGGTGACAACTGAAGAACTATTTTTCACATTGTACAATGTGGGTCAACAAAACATCTCACTGTGGTATGCTTTGTTAATTAGGAGATAAACATACTGATTAAAAATCTTAATAACGCGGTTATGGTAGAATGGAGATAAACATACTGAGTTCGAAAATCAGAGGTATACAATGTGATTATATACCTCTCAAGGGATACGGAGAAAATGGACACCAGCGAAAACAGACCCCCAAAAAATTGAGAAAACGTCCACCGCACTGGAGAGAACAGCCACCAAACCTAGAGAAAATGGCATCTGTGCCTATAGAAAACGGCCAACACAGTTGCAGATCAAACGAGATTATGTGATTAAATATATCCTAAATAATAGAGATTTTACTTCATTGCGGATAAACTTTTAAAAATTGATTGTTTTTGTTTCGATATCCACAGCGGTTTAACCTTTGAAGATTGATGGGTTGTTTCGAGAGTTACGATGAACAAACCAGTTGATTGATTGTAGATTTTACAGGCAAGATTAGTTGATGATAGAGAGTAAAAAGATAACAAGGCAGTGTTTATATTTACGAACGGATTTGTAGAATATTTAATTACATCAAATATGAATAAAAAAGTCTGTTTTAACTAATTCTGACGTGAGAGTGAGAAAACAGGTTGACAAAAGAATTAATAGATCATCTTATCTAATATTTTCACCGACAACCACTGAGCAATGATAACATCTTCTCGTGTTTATTCAATAATCAACTGTTGACGGGTGAAGGCGCAAGCCCGAACTAATCCTTTCTGGTCGCCTGCCGCTACTGTTTAAAGAGGTGATGATAGACATGCTTGGTCATGATCAGCCAGCCAGCGACCACTTATATCTCTTTAAGAAATACATGAAATACTATTATTTGATAGATAATGTTCTTATTTATTCTGTTTATCTCTTCAGTACACGTATCATCATATTTATTATCAATAACAACAAACTATGTAAAAAAATTATAGTATTATAATATATATATTGCATTTTTCATAGCCAAACAAATGAAGAGTGGTTTGACGAGCATTCTACGGCAAACAGTATAATATAAAAATACAACTTGTAGATGCACAACCAAAACTTTGCCATGACTATGTTATCATTGTGGTTGCCTTCTTATTATGATATTGATTTAGAGATGATCAAAAGCAAAATAAAATACATGTAGTTTTCTGTTATATCTCTTGGCCCAGAGGCCAATTTCTCTAGTAGTGGTGGCCGTTTTCTCCAGGGTGGTGAGCGATTTGCCATTTTCGCTGGGGTCCGTTTTCACTATAACGCACCTCTGAATGACTTTTATTAACCAATAACAATCCAGTATTTACTGAAGTCATGGTAAAATTAGGAGATAAACATACTCTGTTGGAAAATCAGAGGTATATAACGAAATTAAGATAGCTCTTAAATTTGACTTAAAACTGAAAGCATAGTGTGAGGTTTCAAATCCTGATTTATGAACCAGAACAGCTGATAGAGATGAGTATTCAATAACACCAGCAAATTTCCTTTATCTGCCCTAGTACCATCATTCTGGTAACTGGATAAACATTCATGAATGCATGCAATACCTTCTGGCCACCACCACACAGTGCATTGGCGGATCCCTTTGGCGGATTTGTTCGAAACTAAACAAGCTCCAACGTCTTTTATACCTCAAAGTATTGCAATTTTAAACAAATTTTGAATGTCCAGTTATCATCTTATTCATTCAATTATTTTTAAGCACATATATTTATCTCTTTCCATGTTTTAAGAAATTTCATGTTTTATGTTGACATTCATTTCTATTATTGTCAAGCTCTGTGATCCAAAACGAATTCCTTTTAAGGTACTAAAGTATTGCCTGTCTGTCTGTCAGTTGGCAAAATCGATCTACGTACCATTACATTCTGAGAATACATAAAGAGAACTTATTCTGTACGTAAATATTTATATGCACAGATAATAATAATAATAAAATAACTTACACACGATTTCTCCCAATTCTTTTGACATCTGTTCTATATACTGTCCTGAAGCTGACCATGATGACAAAATAAAAACACATCCAAGAAACAGGTTTTTAACGTACGACATTGTGAGCTTCGAACCGTGTTGTTATACTCCAGACAGAGCCTAGTTACACTGAAGCAGCTACCCAGCTGTCAATCAAGGCTTCGGCAACCACACCACAATACTTGGGTTTACTTTGCATAACACGAACAGATTGTTTCACTATTAAGGCAGCTGACGTAGCAGATCAGTTCCTTTGTGCTTGGTACAAAGTCACATGTTCTCTTCAAGTATGAGTATCACCATTAACACAGATAATTGTCATCTCGTGACACCGAATGTTGCCTCCCCTGTTGGTCTGGTGTATTTCGACGACTGCTCTTGTTTGAAAACACATGTTCTTCGTTTTCGAGCGTGTCCTCAAAAGTTAGTATGGAATCAACACATTGTTAACCTGCAAATCACTTGTTCATGTAAGGATGTCTTCTTCAAATCATAGTACATGTTCTTGTAATAAACGGTATCAACATCACATTTATTAATATATATACGCTGTTCAAAAACTTATAAAGTTGTATAGGAGCTTATATATGTATGACAGATTTACGTTTACCAGAAAAACTGGGGTTGTAGTCGAATGGGCCGAAGGACAAAAGGGCCGAAAAAAAAGTCAAATAGGTGAAGAAGGCTGCCACACAAGACCTGTTCAAGTCTGCCAGGTCCATAGCTGAGGATGTTATTGATATTGTTATGATATTATGTTTTAATGCTATATATGTTTTCAAAAAATGAAACACATTTGTAAACTGTTTTTATGTTCGGCCCATATGACTAATAATAAGGCCCTTTTGACATTTTTCCACGGTCCATTTGACTTTCACCACGGCCCATTTGACTTGGCACTTATCGGCCCTCTTGTCCTTCGGCCCATTTGACTAGATCCGGAAAACTGTATATTAATCTGACGAATGTTTCATGTTAAAACTGATTCGGCTTCATAGGCGGATCCAGGGGGGATGGGGGTTCAGGGGTGAAAAACTTTGTGCCGAAAGTTTGTTAAATGACCATTCAAACCCGGGTGAAAATTAAATGTGCAACCCTCCTTTTCTCAATAGTGTGCATCCTCCCCTTCTCAGAAAGCTGTATCCGCCCCTGGGCTTCAAACCTTGTGTTGTGTACAGAATATTGGTTGTGTTATTACATAGTTTTTCATACGACCAAAATGTACGTATGAACAAGACTGGCATGACTTTCTTGAACATTGTCCTTTATCACTGAACAAAATACTTTCCATTTTGAAAGTGACATAAAATATATTGTTTTAAACATATTTTATTCACTGAGAAAAGAATTAGGAACAAGTTCTCCAACTTAGAATACCCTCTCCTTGGTATGTACATAGGTAATTTAAATTTCCGCAAATAAAGATGACAGATAGTGGACAAGAAAGTAGAATAAGTAAAAAGAGATAGAGCTTATACAAAATAATATCAAAATGCTATGCAAATCGTTTTGTCTCACAAATGAACGATTGCCTTAACTTGAATACTTTTGCATTTTCACATGATGATAGGTCTGCACTTCCTTCTAACACAAGTTTAAGGTCGACTGAAATACCTGCTGATGAACAAATGCGCTTAACTGATAACATGAAGTTAACTCTTTGTTGTTTGTACAATGGACATTCAAACAGATAATGATACGAGTTCTCAATAAATCACCACATATACAAATAGGATCAGCTTTCATTCCAACTCTGTACAAATCAAAGTTCAAACAACTAACAAAATAACGCAACTAGGTATGATTATTATTTAATTTTCTTTTACCACACGAATAATACTGAGGTGCACATGCATGGTTATCAGTTATACATGATTTAAAAGTTGAAACACTTTTTGAATTACGAATGATAGTTGGTAAATTGTTCCAAGAGCATATTGTAGAAGGAAAGAAGGATTTATTACGGTTAATACGTTTCGTCGAGTTACCCAAGTTTCGATGTTGTCTACACAAATGCTACATAAAAACAGATAGTTATAAAAGTTCAGAAGACAGGATTTGTGAAGTATGTAACTGTGGATATGTAGAAAGCTACTATCACGTTTTGTATATTTGTGAAACTTAAGCAGATTTGCGTCAGATTTAACTTAACAAGAAATACTTTGTAGATCAAAAGTACACACAACAGAACTATAACGCAGTTATTTCCGCTGGTAACTTTGAAACTGTTGTGCATTTGTAACTTAAGGTTTTTTTCCTAACAGGCAGACACAATAGCAAGAACTAGATTAAGGAATACCTGCAGCGTGCCTCTTAATCGGTGCAAGGACATGAACTGCCGAGCAACACAAGAATTTACACTTGAAATTCTATTGACCAAATACGTAGAAAACGTATCAAAACGTTACTTCACTGAAACACCTCAAACTAAGACATATCTACTGGGCCTGACCTATTTGTATCACCATCGAATACCTTTTTCTTGTTAATATTTCTTTCACCTGTTTCTTAAGTCTGTTTGAATGCAGCCATCAACAAACTTTCTTAGCCCGCCAGTTTGTTTCAACTACCATTAAATCGAGGTGCGTCTTATTCAGTTAAATTTTCGGTTTAATATTTTTTTTAAAGGAATAATAACTGAAAAATTTTACCTCATAATTCAGTTCTCAACACAGTTCACCCACTTCTTATTCCTAGTCCAATCACTACTGTCCCATTAATCAAACGTAAACGATTGCACCAACAAACACTTTCGTTGTTTTAAGACAGTTGTATAACATGGTTCACTGTTCCCGGTAGAAAAGAATTATTATATGGTCAAAATTTTTTTTATGTCTCTCATAATTCTATTTTGAATGATTCTGTACCCGTTTATAAATGAATTGTATGTACAGTTGTGTGTATATTTAGCTTTGTACAGAAGTGAGACGTTAATAAACTATTGTCTGTCTGTCTGGTTAATTTAGATGGGTTATAGAGACAACCCCACATTGCAAAATTGGCCCCCAGGTACTATAATGAAAATGGCCACTAATTTCAAAGAAAATGGTCCCACATTTGCGAGAAAATCAGCCCAAATAAATTCAATGGTTTAACTGGGCTCGTTGGTCCTTGTGAACCTTCTCCGGAATAACAGAATTGATCAAGTCATTAAAGAGTTCCATGGGTAATCACTATGCATACGGATTCTAAGATTCTCAAGTACATTAACGGGACCAAATTAACATGTATGTATTAAGACCCGTGTATCTTACGTGTCCGTGTCAGTTACGTTCTCAAAATATTCATGGTTGTCCCACGTAACTGATACACATTGAATGAATTCAGGCCCGGTATTATGCACGAGCTTTATTCGATACGGGAGAAGAATATTAAGTATTCGAAGAATCCAGCTTAACTCATGATATACTATGTCAGGATTTGTCGGAAGACCATTTTGATTTGGACAGGCGTCAATCTTATAATATATCATTTTCTTTTTTAATAGAAAACACCCCAGAATATCAGAATGATTATAGTCAGAACAATTTCCCTCAATTTTTAACAACTTTATTCCCTCAGCAGAATATATTATGGGCATGTTCAAACATACCAAGAACAAATATTGTATGGTGAATGTTATTACATATATCTTTCACCTGTTTCTTAAGTCTGTTATTCAATGAGAAACAATTCCTATCGGACCGCTTTTTTCCGATCCTCTTAAAAATTACAGTTTGTCATTATCCGTAAAGATGGTATTCTACAAACTCTGCCTGTCGAATGAGGCCCTTCAACTAGGCTCCGTCTCTACACGTTACAAATTAGACGCACCGTTGGAATCCGGCAAGTACATTTTATTTACAATGTTGGGTTTTATTTTTTATTTTTATTTTCATAATATTCTACTGAAAGTAAATGCGAACATTTCCATAGTGTAGAAAATCTTTCAGTAAAAAGCTATTTCCGGTGTTGCTAGGGCAACAGTTGCTGAGTTCAACACCCGGCTCTTACGATTCTTGTGTACAGAAGCGTATCGTTGCCATCAAAGTTGTTTTTTCAACAGATTCCATCGACTATTTTGAGTTTGAGTACCTACTTGCTACTGCAGATAGGTTTGTAGATGGTATTTTGTACATAAGCAGTTTGTTTTCTCCCGAAATGCTTTCAGATTTGCCATTCTTGGCACAGTAAACAAAATGGGCCCCCCTTGACAACCAGCAAATATTTAACAATTTGAGGCCTATATTGAAGTCAATTCTCTTTAGATTAGTGCTGAATTGTACATTCTTTAACTTTCCTGTTTGTTTCCACGAAGGTTATGATCAATTCAGTTCATACAAGAGAAACCACGGCTGTTCTGACGCCCCAAACTCACCTAAATTCTGATCATGTTAGATGAACGTCCCCCACTCTATAGTATTACGACTACTGTAGTATGGCTAACCTAAGTCCGTAGCTCAAGACCAATTTAAATTACTTCATGTACTGTAAGATTTGCTAATTAAGGTTAACATTAACACAAATATCTACTGAAAATGGCGAAGGGTAGGGTAAAACGCCCGTGATTTCTGCAAGTGAAAAGTCTACTGTAGATCCATGAAAATGTTTTCAAGTGACATTTTTTGACAGGCAGGCAAATGGTTTTTGTGCAGACTGTAAACCACACTGCGATATTTACCAGTCCCTATTGATTTGTGTGTTTTGAGGAATTGAGAATGATGTTTTTTCACGCACTAATCATTGAACAAAAGACCAAATTGAATAATTTGTGCAATTTTAGTCTGCAAATCTCAGCTAGTAATTCCATATCAAAACACAAAACTCCACAAACATGATTTCGGGGAAGGCAGGAAGTATTGGGTTCATTGATTTTAGTGTGATCTTCTCTCCATTATCATTATTATTTGCACATTATTTGACAAAGAATGTATTGAATATAAAATAGAAGTGTTCTATTCAAGTAATCAATAATTCAAGTAAAATTATATAAAGGACTAGAGATATTTTCTTTGTGGACTACCACTGTGAACACAACAGATAGCTACTTCTTAACATAAATATACTCATGCCAATAATGGTTGTCACCACCCTCCCCACCCCAACCCCACCCCACACCCTGTCTCCAATTAAAAAAATTGAAGGGGGTGACAACCATTATTGGCATGACTATATTTAAGACGAGACCAAAAAAATCTGAAAATATGCTCAAAACATAAAATCAACTATGTATATATAATAAATCCTATATGAAAAGTAACTTCATGTATATATTGTTGACAGGTTTCTGACCAGTTTGGAGTATTATCTAGATTCTACAGTATATCCTGTGTTTCACTTTGATCTGGTGTAAAGATCAACTGAAGAGGTATTCTGATCTTAACAACAGACATTACGACTGGGTTAGAATTCCAAACCATTACTAGCCCGAATCCAGAAAAAATGCCCCTGTAAAGTTAACACAATGGGGAAATTAGAATGAGTTCACAGGAATCTGTACTGGCATTGGGCTAGTGTTTAAGTTCCAACCCTGAATATGAACATTTCCCATGTCAAATATAAGTACACCAGCTTTTACATTCATCAAGGCAGGGTTACTGACTGTCTTTCACTCTGTCCTACAGATGCTTTTCAAATTAGACATATAGTAGAATATGTTTGATAAAAAATCATGAAAATTGCCAAACACCATTTGTATCTAGTAATGTCCCTGTATAAAGACCCAATGCAAAGCATTCATATAAACAAGACTAGCAATACCAGTATATCTTCCATTTTGTGAAAGGAATCTAACTATGTCCATAATTGATACTTCAGAAGCACAAGATGCTGCGTCCCAATGAGAGTTGGGTGAATCTGGTTGACCCCACCTGCCCTGACACTTATGCTGTCCTCCCCTCCAGTCCTCGCACCACAAGCCCATCACGTCCAACCCCTAGATCCTCAAGCGAGGATATGTATTTTCAGGATGATGGTATTATCAGTCCAACTGTTGGTGTCTTTTATTCAGAATATCCTAAATTTCAGTCTTGCTCCACTGACACTAATAATTATACTTCTTTGGGTTTTGTAGTGAGCAGACCTATATTGCCCGACCCAAGTGACATGTCCCTCCCAGGTGGCTCAAGTGCAGGCACATTCCTCAACCTAAGTGACATGTCCTTCCCCAGTAGCACCAGTGCAGGCATATTCCCCAGCCCAAGTGGTATGTCACACCCAGCAGGTACCAGTACATTTGCAGACCCAAGTGATATGTCCATCCCAGGTAACACAAGTGCAGGGACGTTCCTCAACCTAAGTGATATGACCATCCCAGGTAGCACCAGTGTAGGCATGTTCCTTAGCCCAAGTGGTATGTCCCACCCAGCAGGTTCCAGTGCAAGTACATTTGCTGGCCCAAGTGATATGTGTCTCCCTCCCAGCACCAGTGCAGGTATAACCTCAGTCAGCAGGGAATTTATATCTTCACTCTCACCACCTCATTTCATGTCTGTTACTGTCTGCAATGAATCAAGTTTCAGTCACATCTCAGTTGGCGGACATTTCTATGTTTCCACTTGCAGATTTTTTTCCCACAGCAGTGAATGCAGCCTAGATCAAGGAACACTCAGCGAGACATCACTGGATAGAGATCTTGAAGAATGTGTTTTCAGGCCTCTGCCAATTTGTAGTGATTGCAGCCTAGATCAAGGAACACTCAGCGAGACATCACTGGATAGAGATCTTGAAGAATGTGTTTTCAGGCCTCTGCCAATTTGTAGTGATTGCAGCCTAGATCAAGGAACACTCAGCGAGACATCACTGGATAGAGATCTTGAAGAATGTGTTTTCAGGCCTCTGCCAATTTGTAGTGATTGCAGCCTAGATCAAAGAACACTCGGCGAGACATCACTGGATAGAGATCTTGAAGAATGTGTTTTCAGGCCTCTGCCAATTTGTAGTGATTGCAGCCTAGATCAAGGAACACTCAGCGAGACATCACTGGATAGAGATCTTGAAGAATGTGTTTTCAGGCCTCTGCCAATTTGTAGTGATTGCAGCCTAGATCAAGGAACACTCAGCGAGACATCACTGGATAGAGATCTTGAAGAATGTGTTTTCAGGCCTCTGCCAATTTGTAGTGATTGCAGCCTAGATCAAGACATCACTGGATAGAGATCTTGAAGAATGTGTTTTCAGGCCTCTGCCAATTTGTAGTGACAGCCTAGATCAAAACACTGCCGGACACTCGATGAGATCTTGAATCACTGGATAGAGATCTTGAAGAATGTGTTTTCAGGCCTCTGCCAATTTGTAGTGATTGCAACCTAGATCAAAGAACACTCGGCGAGACATCACTGGATAGAGATCTTGAAGAATGTGTTTTCAGGCCTCTGCCAATTTGTAGTGATTGCAGCCTAGATCAAGGAACACTCAGCGAGACATCACTGGATAGAGATCTTGAAGAATGTGTTTTCAGGCCCTCTCAAGCCAATTTGTAGTGATTGCAGCCTAGATCAAGGAACACTCAGCTGGACATCACTGGATAGAGATCTTGAAGAATGTGTTTTCAGGCCTCTGCCAATTTGTAGTGACTGCAGCCTGATCAAGCCACTCAGCGAGACATCACTGGATAGAGATCTTGAAGAATGTGTTTTTCAGGCCTCTGCCAATTTGTAGACAGCCTCATCAAGGAACACTCATACATCACTGGATAGAGATCTTGAAGAATGTGTTTTCAGGCCTGTTTTTTGTAGTGATTGCAGCCTCTCAAGGAACAATCAGCTGGACATCACTGCAGCCTTGAGATCAAGGAACAGGCCTCTGCTTTGACATGCAGCCTGATCAAGGAACACTCAGCTGGACATCACTGATAGAAAGAATGTTTTCAGGCCTCTGCCAATTTGTAGTGATTGCAGCCTAGATCAAGGAACACTCATCGAGACCTCATTGGATAGCGATCTTGATGGATGTGTTTTCAGGCCTCTGCCAATTTGTAGTGATTGCAGCCTAGATCAAGGAACACTCAGCCAGACATCACTGAAGAGAAGACTTGATGAATCCAGCAACATGCCTGTTTCCATTTCCTGTGAATGCAGCCTAGATCAAGAAACACTCAGCCAGACCTCCCTGGATACACATCTTGATGAATCCATGAACATGCCTGTTTCCATTTCCTGTGAATGCAGCCTCGATCAATCATCAATCAGCGAGACATCACTGAAGAGAAGACTTGATGAATCCAGCAACATGCCTGTTTCCACTTCCTGTGAATGCAGCCTCGATCAAGGAACAATCAACCAGACTTCACTGAAGAGAAGACTTGATGAATCCAGCAACATGCCTGCTTCCATTTCCAGTGAATGCAGCCTAGATCAAGAAACACTCAGCCAGACCTCCCTGGATACACATCTTGATGAATCCACCTCTGGGGATCTTTCAGAATGCAGTCTTGCTGATCAACCAACACTCAGCCAGACGTCACTAGGCGGAGATTTAGATTCTACCATCTTCAGACCTATTTCTATGAGCAGTAAATACAGCCTGTCCGAAGTCATCAGCGAGACATCAATTGATGAAGATTTCTGTGAATCCATCCTCATAGCCTATTCCTTTCAGCTGTAAATCCTGTCAACAGACATCAGCCAGCATGAATGAACGTTTTTGAAATACCTCAATTTGTAGAGAGTTTTATGACTCAACATGTTTATAACAGCAGAAAAACACATTACTATACATGTATTTACCACAATAAACAAAACTACAAAATGTAGTGGGGATTTTTTTGTGGGGCTTTATATGTATTTGTATTGGCATGTTGGGAATAAAGTCCACTGACCAGCCCTTTCATCTAAATGCTCTTCTGACATTTCTATAATATGGCCGGTTTCCACATTTCAGGGTTCTTTCAGACTTCTACATCCTGATTTCTTGCATTACTTTTTCCTGGAGTAATAGTGAACTTAATGCAGGAACATTTTTGCTTCAACTCAAATCCTTTTGCACATCATACCAAAATATAATTCAGGTGTCATAACTCTGTCCAGCAACAATAATCCATCATCAAGTTCCAGCCTAAACTCCATCTGCTCTGGTGACCCCTTCCCCACTCAAGAATCAATGTGAGCACCATATCTCTTTATATTTACCATGCACCAGTTATACAAACAAATATTTCAGGTTTTCCAGCTGTGTCAACTAATCAACTCATGTTTCTTCTCTCTTCACATACTGTACCTCCTCAACACATTTCAGTGTTGCTCAAGACTGGCGACACACCTCTTCCTCCTCCCCAGTGAGCAGCTTTCCACTGCCTGGTCCATCTTGTCAAACTTATGTGACAATCTTTCAGTGTGAATGATATCTGTCATGAGATGTGACAATCTCTCAGTGTAATGATCTCTGTCATGAGATGTGACAATCTCTCAGTG